GAGCAAGCCCCACTGAGTTCAATGGAACTTCATGAGTAGAAGTGAGGATCACACTCTAAATAGATTTAAGCAACTTGTTGAAAAGTCTAATGCAGCAATCCTCTGGACAGAGTGGCAGATACAGATTTCAAGACTGTTTGGGATAAACCAATGTTAAAACAATGAAGATAGGTGTACAATATTATTTTTTATAAAAAATATACAAAGACATAGTAGAGGAAGAGATGTTTCTGTGAATGAGTGGAAGAGTTAATGTGACAAGCAGATTGCTTATTTTGCACTTTCTTGGACTACAACTCCTAGAGTTCCTAACTATCTAGGTGTAGTCCAAGAAGCTGACTTTTCTCAGCTCTTGAATAATCACAGTAAAATAATAAAAAGAACTGCATCTTCACTGACCATCATGACAAGGGATTTGGGGAAGCTGTAATCCCAAAGTGTCACTTGTCCAGCTCTATGTAGCAAAAAAGACATCTGATGGAGGTCTACTCCCGTTATAAGTAGACAATAATAAGATAAATATTAGTGCAAAGTATTGAATGGTGCAGTACTATATATAGAACTTCCTGCAAAGTCTTGGCTGGGGGAAAGCAGGAGATATTACTTTTCACAACAAAAATATATCAGTGTGAGTTCTCACTGCTGCAACATAAAATATTCTGAAATGGCTTGGTCTTCAGTGGGGTGTTTACAGTCTATCCATTTTACAAAATACCTCCTCCTGGTGGAAATAAACTGCTAAAATTGGTTTGTTGATATGGATCAACAAAGCTTCCAGCATTTTATGGATTCTCCATGTAGGAGTTTGCACTTCAAAATGTGTCCAGATCACTGCTTGCCCTTTAGCAAAATATGATACTTCAGCAAAAGTGTCTCAGACACATGCGTTTGTCCACTGAAACCGTGTATGGGAATACATATTGTGTCAATTATGAACAGAACTAAAATCCTGTTAAATCCAAATTTTTGTTGTTTAGTCGTTTAGTCGTGTCCGACTCTTCGTGACCCCATGGACCAGAGCATGTCAGGCCCTCCTGTCTTCCATTTCTTCCCGGAGTTTGGTCAGATTCATGTTCATAGCTTCGATGACATTGTCCATCCTCTGGATAGCCTCACATTAATTACACATTGAACACTTAATACTTAATAGGATACTGGCCAGGGACATTATCAGCACCTCCTTTTAAAATTTCTTTTTAAAGTAAAAATAAGCTGAGTGGGATGTGGGCAACTGAATGGATCTGTGTTGAAATATTTATAAGTATTTAACTGATTTCAAAGTACAGTAAATTTATGAATTTCACTTAAATTCTTTATTAATCTCCACCTGTGTGGTTTAAATTTGAGGGTTAAAGTTGATATTTATACAGCACATAAGATGAACATGACATAATAGTTTCTAGTTTTGTTTAATAAACATAGGTCAAACAAACAATGACCACAATGTACTGTAACTGAATATTTATGTTGACATAAGTGACTCTGAGGCAGCAAAATGCACAAGTGCCTGAGAATTACACCATGAGACTTATACTGGTAGACATAAGTAATAGCACCGTGGCCACACTGAATTCCATTTCTTTTTGTGTAAGCAGATCATGCAATAAATAGTTCCTCATGTCATTTTTTGGGAAATGGTTGTCACTATAAGACCTGTCACTGGAAGGACAGATCCTGAAGCTGAAGTTCCAATACTTTGGCCATCTCATAAGAAGAGAAGACTCCCTGGAAAAGACCCTGATGTCGGGAAAGTGTGAAGGCAAGAGGAGAAGGGGACGACAAAGGATGAGATGGCTGGACAGTGTCATCGAAGCTACCAACGTGAGTTTGACCCTACTCCGGGAGGCAGTGGAAGACAGGAGGGCCTGGCATGCTCTGGTCCATGGGGTCACAAGGAGTCGGACACGACTAAACTAAGGGGATGATCAAGCAACAGCCTTATCAAGATGCAGGTTTGACACTGTTATGTTCACCTCACTTCTCCAGAGATGAGCATTTCCAGGAACACTTTGCCGATTAAGGAGGACATTAGAGGTTTGTGGTGTTTGATAGTATTATTTATTTATTTATTTACATCTATATGTGTTTTATGTGCTGTCAAGTTAGGATTGATTTACAGCAATCCTAACACGGTTTTCAAGACAGATATGAGTTTCCATGGCTAAGTAGAAATTCAAACCCAGGTCTCCTAAATCAAAGTTGATCAACCTATCACACTTTGTAACTATACAGAGTGAGGACAGATGGATAAAGTACAGCTTAATGCTTCAGTAAGCAATATCTACTTATTAGATTTATATCCTGCTTTTTTTTTTACAGTGAGGTCAATACAGCCTATATGTCTTCATTCCATGCCACTTTATACTCCGCCTCATGGTACACGTTCGTTCGTTCGTTTAGTCATTTAGTCGTGTCCGACTCTTCGTGACCCCATGGACCAGAGCACGTCAGGCCCTCCTGTCTTCCATTTCTTCCCGGAGTTTGGTCAGATTCATGTTCATAGCTTCGATGACATTGTCCATCCTCTGGATAGCCTCACATTAATTAAACATTGAACACTTAATACTTAATAGGATACTGGCCAGGGACATTATCAGCATCTCCTTTTAAAATTTCTTTTTAAAGTAAAAATAAGCTGAGTGGGATGTGGGCAACTGAATGGATCTGTGTTGAAATATTTATAAGTATTTAACTGATTTCAAAGTACAGTAAATTTATGAATTTCACTTAAATTCTTTATTAATCTCCACCTGTGTGGTTTAAATTTGAGGGTTAAAGTTGATATTTATACAGCACATAAGATGAACATGACATAATAGTTTCTAGTTTTGTTTAATAAACATAGGTCAAACAAACAATGACCACAATGTACTGTAACTGAATATTTATGTTGACATAAGTGACTCTGAGGCAGCAAAATGCACAAGTGCCTGAGAATTACACCATGAGACTTATACTGGTAGACATAAGTAATAGCACCGTGGCCACACTGAATTCCATTTCTTTTTGTGTAAGCAGATCATGCAATAAATAGTTCCTCATGTCATTTTTTGGGAAATGGTTGTCACTATAAGACCTGTCACTGGAAGGACAGATCCTGAAGCTGAGGTTCCAATACTTTGGCCATCTCATAAGAAGAGAAGACTCCCTGGAAAAGACCCTGATGTTGGGAAAGTGTGAAGGCAAGAGGAGAAGGGGACGACAAAGGATGAGATGGCTGGACAGTGTCATTGAAGCTACCAACGTGAGTTTGACCCTACTCCGGGAGGCAGTGGAAGACAGGAGGGCCTGGCATGCTCTGGTCTATGGGGTCACGAGGAGTCGGACACGACTAAACTAAGGGGATGATCAAGCAACAGCCTTATCAAGATGCAGGTTTGACACTGTTATGTTCACCTCACTTCTCCAGAGATGAGCATTTCCAGGAACACTTTGCCGATTAAGGAGGACATTAGAGGTTTGTGGTGTTTGATAGTATTATTTATTTATTTATTTACATCTATATGTGTTTTATGTGCTGTCAAGTTAGGATTGATTTACAGCAATCCTAACACGGTTTTCAAGACAGATATGAGTTTCCATGGCTAAGTAGAAATTCAAACTCAGGTCTCCTAAATAAAGGTTGATCAACCTATCACACTTTGTAACTATACAGAGTGAGGACAGATGGATAAAGTACAGCTTAATGCTTCAGTAAGCAATATCTACTTATTAGATTTATATCCTGCTTTTTTTTTTACAGTGAGGTCAATACAGCCTATATGTCTTCATTCCATGCCACTTTATACGGTACCCTAAAACACACTCCGAAGAGGCTACACTCTTTCGCAGGACTCCTTCCATTCCCTCACAAAAACTGTCAAAAAGGAAAGGGAAAACTCTTCCCACCAGAAGAGGCCCTGACAAAAGCCATGAGGACATTTCTAGCTGTTTCCAAACAGCGGAGACATGTAGCTCGAGCTTGGGGGCGGGGGGGGAATACTTTTTAGGACTACAGTTCCCAGAAGCCCCCAAGGAATACGGCAGCCTGGTTGGTGGCTGGGGGAAGCTGGAATCCCAAAGAACAACTTTTTGCAAACTCTGCCTTCAGTAAGCTGTCTATCTAACAAAGGAAGCGGCAGGTACTCCGACTGACAGGTTTGAACAGCTGCCAGAAGGGCTGGGAAACCCGTCCCCTCTTGGGCTCCTCCATCTGGCCATCTTCGCCCAGCCCTCCCGGGCACTCCCAGGCTTCGCCTCAGCGCCGCCCACTTTGCTGACTTCGCAGATCGCGCCTTCCTCGTCAGCATTTTTTTACGCTCTCTCCCTTTAAATACACTCCGCCGCTGATTGGCCACTCGGCGAATGCCCTGCCTGCTTTCCCATTGGCTCCCTCGGCCGACGCCTCTTTCCACCTGGTTCCGTCCTGGCTTCTCTCTCTTTCTTTCCCAACTTGGATGCGGAGCTGAGCGGGGCGGCGGCGATGTGGTGTCACCGGCTTTTACGATCCGCTTTGCCTCTGGGGCGAGGCAGCGGCTCCTGCGGGCGGGCCCAGTCCGCCTTGGCCCAGCTGCAACACGTCTTGGAAGGCGAGCTCGAGGGGATCCGAGGCGCCGGCACCTGGAAGACCGAGCGGGTCATCACCTCCAAGCAAGGGCCGCACATTCACGTCGAAGGCAACCGAGGAGGTCGGGCGGCGGGTGTGGGTGTGGGTGTTGTCCGGCTTAAACGAGGATCGCGCCCGCGTTCAGAGGACGCGGCAAACTATTATTAAAGAACAAAGTCGAACACGGGAGTTAGGAAAACTGGAAGTTGCACGTGTGGAATGTGGGCACACGCCCTTAAAGGAGAGAGTTTGGGTTTTCTAAACGTAGACCTACCTTTCTCTATATCCCAGTGTTCCCAGTCTGGGGATCTTGGGAAAAGGGGTTTCAGGGCAGTGGCGGACTGCCTTATAGGTGTTGTAGCCCTTGTTAAATAGTTTCTTCCCTGTCGTTTCGGAGCGGGATATTAAAATTAGCGTGTATGTGTATGTACGGGAAACACGCCCTTTGGGGAAGAAAGAAGCCTCTACTTTCTGAGAAGGGGTGACTTTACCCCATTGAAAATGATTTGTTTAATGCAATGTGTGTGTGTGTGTTGCAGGTTGCTTGGCTATTATACGTAAAAGGGAGTTGCAGCTTGAAAAAGGTTGGGAACCATTGCCCTGGTATCATTTATTGACATAATGAGGCGATTCCACAGCAACTTTGCAGAACTAAAAGAATATCCGTAGAAGTTCTGCAATAATTAGAAATCTAATGGACTGTGAGGATACTGTTTAAAAATCTGATCTTCTAAGCATGCCTCTGTGTCTCATGTGAGATAGCTTTAAGTGTAGGATGATGAGAGCAACTGTGTACCTCCAAATATTTTTCCACTGCAGTTCCCGTAGTCTTTTGCTATGGGCTATGCCAGCTGGAGCTGCTGGAAACTATAGATCCCAAACATTTGCAGGCCCACAGTTATCTACACAGGGTATCAAATAAGACTTGCAAGCCAAAACAAACCACCAGGGAATTAAGTGTCCTTGGAGTGATGGGATGGATGAAGGGTTTAAAACAGAAGACAGAATCCCATGGGTAGGCAGTGTAACTAATAAAACCTGCACAACATGTTTTTCCACTTCAAGAAAGAAATGTAACTACATAGGGACAGGGTGGGAATAGTATGGAGAGCAGAAGAGAAGGGAAATATTTACATACCCAGGAGAGTGATAACAGCTTGGATTGTTCCACCTATAAAGGTGTAGGGCTACTTACTGCACCACTATACTGTATTTGTGAAACAAACAATGTAAAAGCTATTTTTTAATCCCATCATTTACATCTTATTTGCAAAACTCAGCTAACACCTGCTCTTGAAACTATTGTTTCAATATGAAGATAGGTCACATATTCAGTATTACCCTATAATATGAACCACAGATGTAAGAATAAACCAATATGTATATTTTAATGTACTGTATAGTAGACTACTACTGTATAACAAATAGAAGCTTAGGATATGTTCTCTGTATTACCTGGCAAATGTCCATGTTTCTGACCTTTTACTCAATACTCTGTGTGTTTGTTTTAGTCCTTTCGCTCACTGATTTGTTGGCATGATTTAAAATCACATTGCCATGTACGTGGTACTACTCATCAACATGGCAAAGTTTTTTTTTTTTGAGTCTGCAGAAGGTGTATATAATCAGTGGCAGGAATTCTAGGGCGTTCTGGCAGTTTGCAAAGTAACTTTTTAAGGCTCTACCCTGTCCTGGGCTCCATAGCCTGGCACCAGAAGACCACCCAGGCAACAGAATGCTGTGAAATCAAAAGGTTGGCAGTCTTGGTAGGGGAGAATGCAACAGATCCACATTAGAACACACTGCTTATGTATGGAAAATTTCCAGGTTAGTTCCTGGCATCTCCATGGTTAGGTAGCATCTGCGCCCTAAAGTGTTACCTTGGGGGGGCATTATAACTTCCAGAATCTACACCACTTGCTATAGTAGGTAGGGTTTTTTGGTGCTATGGTCCAAAAATAGTAACCTTTTCAACTTCTATGTTTTAAAAAAGTCATGTGCCAGAGATCCTCAGATCCACTGCCATTCCGAGTAGGTAGCAGTAAGATAGACATTATGAAAATGATCTGGTGTTATATACAGCTTCCCATATTCCTGGAATGAAAGCAAGAACTATATAGGTGTTCAGTAAATAAGTCTGATGTATGCATTGCTTACATTTTCCTTCTACCATTGTTGTTATTGCAGATATCCTGAATTTCTGTGCTAACAATTACCTAATAAGTCTGATGTATGCATTGCTCACATTTTCCTTCCACCATTGTTGTTATTGCTATTGCAGAGATCCTGAATTTCTGTGCTAACAATTACCTAGGACTCTCCAGTCATCCTGATGTGATCTATTCTGGACTTGAGGCCCTGAAGAAGTATGGAGCTGGCCTCAGTTCTGTCCGCTTCATCTGTGGAACCCAAGTAAGAAGGAGCACAACTGTGGAATCCTAAGAATTCCTATTTTGTTTCTCTGTCTGTGAGCTTGGAATTGCTACTTTTTTGGGCTACAACTCTGAGAAAAAGTTAATTTTTCAAACTCTAATATTAACAATGCAAATATATGGGGATTGCTAGCCTTCTTGATTAAAGTTGTTGTTATTTTAGAAAACAACGGGGGAGGGGGGAATCTTAGAATCATTTTTAAACTGAAAAGCCCACCAAGTGTAATTGCAAAGCAAAAGACTTGCAATCAAAAAAGGAAGGAAATTCAAATTTCTGCATGAAGGAAAAATTGAAATTCAGTCAAATCTAGAAGAAATAAAACAGAATGACCATAGATGTATGTTAACTGGCTATGTTGCAGAGTTTTATTCTGCTTCTGTATAAAGAAGAAACCACTAAGAAACCAAGATGATTTAAAATCCTACTTAATCTTATCCTCTATCCTACCTCTCTGTGTTAACACTATTAATAGTGATTGGAACCCTATCTGATGCTTTCTCCAACTGTACAGGATATTCACAAGAATCTGGAGGAGAAAATTGCTCATTTCCACCAGCGAGAAGATGCCATTCTCTATGCCAGCTGCTTTGATGCCAATGCAGGAATCTTTGAGGTTTGTATGTGTATGGATACCAAAAGTGTCAATTATTTTTTTTATTTAAAATAATTTTACCTCACCTTTCTCCTCAAAAGGACCAAAGACAGCTCACATCATTAAAATATATGAAGAGCTAAAACCAGTACATGTACAAAAAAGAATTAAACAAGTATCATATTAAAAATAGCAAAAAAAATCAATACTAAAAACACATTTAAAGTAACAGAGCACAAAACTGTTCTCAGTGAGGGTGGCCAGTTAACATCTCTAAGTAATTTAGCACAAAATTGTTCTCAGTAAGGGTGGCCAGTTAACATCTCTAAGTAATTATCTTTTCATTAATCTTCAGAAGGGTAGGCATCTTCACTTAAGGCAGCAGAAATGACAGTGAAGAATCCTGAGTCACCTTAAAGACAATCAAATAATATGCATCTATTATTTTAATCTATTAATTGCACTTCATCAAACACAAGATTCCTCATTTTTCAGGTATGTGTGTGCATGCATGCACAAAGGTATTAAGAAAAAGAAGAACAGAGAGATTACTGTAATTGCCACAGACAATATATCTAGAGGTTAAGTGTAAGGAAAATAAGCACACTAGACATTCAGAATACCCTTAATTGGTATGCCTCAATCCTGGGAGACAGAACTACTAAGAGAATGAAGTTCATACAGCACATTGCTAAGCTGTGGAAATCCTTTACATCACAACAATAGATGCCAATTTGGATGGCTTTAGCAGTTGCCTAGATAAATTCCTGGAATTTGGCATCATCTGCGGCTACCAGTCAGGCTGGCTATACAGTAGGATGATAGTATCTGAAGGGGATCAGTTCCAAGACACCCCCCTATGGATGCCAACAGATATGAAAATATTGAATGCTGTATATTTATTGCATGGTCTCTGGCTCCCTGTAGTGACAAGTTCTGGTAAAAACACCATGGCAATACATACAAATACACATTTCTGGGTTTTTTTATTTAGTATTTTCAGACAGCAGATAATAGATAGTGATTCCGCAGATGGGGCCTTACTATATAGCCTTTGTGTATTGATTCCTAGGGAAAACAAGACTAAAGGTGTAGTTGTACGCACATCCAGCTGATGGGCTTCCCATTAGCAGCTCATTGAACTATCTGCGAACAAAATTTTAGGATAGACAGATAATCCAGCAGTGTTCTTCTTATGATAAGATAAATACTGCAACGTGTTAAATTAATTCCAACGTACATGTGGTGTTACCTCTAGACCTTCTGTAAAGAAGCCTGTTCATTTGGATGGGTTCAGGGGACAATCCAATCTCAGTCACTAAGTGCTACGTATAAAGATACGTTTGCTGCATGTGTGCTCACTCTTTTTGTTGCTTACAGGCACTGCTCACTCCTGAAGATGCAATACTCTCAGATGAACTGAATCATGCCTCTATCATTGATGGGATCCGGTTATGTAAGGCCAATAAATATCGATACAGGCACATGGACATGCAGGATCTGGAAGCAAAGCTGCAGGATGCACAGGTCAGTAAGTGTTGTAGCTCCTTGGTTGGTAAGTAGCATGTGGCTCTAAAACAAGGTTAGAACAATGATTTTCAAGGTGCCCTTCCTTTCCTCATCATGAGCAATTTTCTCTGGTTCACTTTGCTGTATCAAGCCATTGCCTGCTTTGTATCTCCTGCCACAGAAATATCGTCTGCGGATGGTGGCTACTGATGGTGCTTTCTCCATGGATGGTGACATTGCCCCCTTGAAAGAAATCTGTAACCTTGCTCAGAAATACAATGCCATTGTTTTTGTGGATGAATGTCATGCCACTGGATTCCTTGGCCCCAATGGTCGGTAAGATATCTGACCATTCTCCCTTGTCTGATTCTCTGATTTAAAGGATTTTTGGTAATGATTATTGAGAGTAATTAGTGAGAACTAGGGATGGGCACGAATCAGAAAAATGGTGATTCATTTTGAGTTCTGATTCATCAAGGTTGATGAATCATGAATAACGAATTTACAATTTTCCCCTTAAAAATGCTGCTAAAGGGCACTTTCCGGGGGGGGCATTTTGTGGGTGTATAACTCAGAACTCTGAAACCCAAATGTCACCAAACTTGCTAGGTGTGTGGAGGGGTGTCAGAGGAAGCCTCTCCGTGTTTTTTGTGTCTCTAGGTCCCTTGGGGGCTGTATTATAAGCCCAAGAATCAGTGAATCAAAAATTGCTTTTAAAAAAGTCATTGATTCATATTTGTTGAGGGGCATTGATTTGTACAAATATGAATTGATGAATCAGCGAGTTCTGACATGTTTTTCAGTTTGTTTTTGGGTTTCACACGTCCAAGTTGTACACCCACAAAGTGAGTCCCCCCAGGAAAATACCCTTTAGTAGCTGGCTTGGGGATGCCTAGTCTTTACCAAACTGGGAAATATTGTAGGGGAGAGTCATGGGAAACTTCTCTGTGATTTTGGTGTCTCTAGGTGCCTGGGGACAATTTGCTGGGAGTGGGGGATTTTGCCCAGTATTTCTTTAAAATGTAATACTGGTTAGTGTGTCACTGATACAGCAGCTTCTGCTCGTTGGATTGCCACATTTATCCTGTTCCTGCTTTTGGACCACCAGGGAAGTAGTACGGCTGCATGGGATAGGTGAGAGGGGGTAGAATCATCATAATATTTGTGATAAGATTCCTTTATGTGAGCAGCCTGGGCTAATATGACTATTCTGTATGTGCAGGGGTACTGATGAGCTCTTAGGAGTCATGGATAAAGTCACTATAATCAATTCAACACTTGGAAAGGCACTTGGAGGAGCAGCAGGTAAAGCCTCTAACTTGTGAGCTAGTTAAAATGTTCGGGGGAAATGCACAACTAGAATTAGTGCTCCATTTGTACTCATTGGGCAGTATAAAAATAAAACAAAATACACAAAGACTGTTTTGTTTTTCTCCTAATAATGCATGCCTTGCTTCTCTTTTCAACTATAAAGGACCTTTTGTCATAGATATATTTCCAGAATCTTCTCTACCCTTGTATACGATAGCCCTTCAGCTACTGACCCTGCTAGCCAGGGGATTCTGGAATTATAGGTAAAGGTTCCCCTTGACATTTAGTCAAGTTGTGTCCAACTCTAGGGCATGGTGCTCATCCACGTTTCCACACCATAGAGCCAGCACTTGTCTGAAGACAGTTTCCACTGTCATGTGGCCCACATGACTAGACACAGACCATTAGTCCAGTTGTGTCCAACTCTAGGGCATGGTGCTCATCCACGTTTCCACACCATAGAGCCAGCACTTGTCTGAAGACAGTTTCCACTGTCATGTGGCCCACATGACTAGACACAGACCACCATTACCTTCCCACTGAGGTGGTACCTATTTATCTACTGGCATTTACATGCTTTTGAACTGCTAGGTTGGCAGGTGCTGGGACAAGCGACGGGCGCTTACTCTGTCGTGTGGATTCGATCTTACATCTGCTGGTCTTCTGACCGTGCAGCACAGAGGTTTCTGCAGTTTAACCCACAGCGCTACCATGTCTCACTAAAATTATAGTCTCTTGGAATCTTCTTGAATGATTGATCGCATTTCTATACTGCCCACCTAGTGTGCTGCCCATCTGTTCTCTTTTTCTCCAACTGTTCATTAGGATCTTCAAACAAGGTCCTATGACTAGGCTGCAAAAAAGAGGGCAGAGACTATCTACTAATATTTGGCAGGCCACCAATACATTAGTGGGCCACAAGCATTGCAGGCGTCCCTAGAATGATAAGTTTCTTTGCTTTGCAGGTGGCTACACAACTGGCCCGAAAGCACTTATAGATCTACTGCGCCAACGATCCCGGCCGTACCTCTTTTCCAACAGCTTGCCTCCAGCTGTGGTGGGTTGTGCCTCCAAGGCTCTGGATCTCCTCATGGAGAGCAACGTAATTGCACAGTCCATGGCTGCCAAGACTGCACAGTAAGCGCAGGGATTATTTTTTTAAAAATCAAACAACATTATGTTCCTTCTCATAATCAAATGATCCACTGACATGGCTTGAAAAACATGATACATATATTTATTACTCTCTTGTTCTCTCTTGATCTTAATTTCATTGATGCAGACTCACACATCTATGTAATTTTAAAAGCCAGAAACTTTTTAAAGCAAAGCTCCAGCAATATATTGTAACAAAGTCCCCTTCAGGGTTTTATTTAGCAGTGTCTTTCCATGCACCCTTTTTATACCTTTGAGAGGCTTGGCACAACTCAACTTGCTGAGATATTTTTCTTGATTCTCACTTACTTCATTTTGATTACATAGCTATTAGCACTTATCAGCTGACTGCTTTATACAACCACTATCTAGGGATATTTTCTCCCAGCAGGTGTTTTTGTGGCACAAACAAGAACGGAAATAAAATGGATCACAATTGCTTTTCCTTAGATAAACTTGAGAGGAGAAGAGCTGTTACCTGTATTATGGCTGCTTGAGAGTGCAACAATAGATATTTTGCAACACAGCAAATCAGCATTCCATAAGGCAGTTCTAAAAATGGGAGTACCCTGGACAAGAAAATTATAACTTTGAAGCTGGTATTTGTATAAACACCAAATTTGGCACAAATGTTGCCAATAGTTTGCTCTTGCTCTGGGCCAAATGTGGGGATGTTTGGGCAAAGAGTTTTCAAACTGTGATTTTTTAAAAATAAAACTGCTTTACCCCACACTGCTAGCCTTTTTTGTTTGCAAAATTAAAACATATCAAATATATTGAGCAAACTTGCTTACTTGCTTGAAAGAGAGTGGTTAGTCCCAATCCCCCCCCTTTTTTTTTAAATTTGGAATTCAGGCTTCAGGGGCTGTAGCATTGAGATTATAAGGAGAAAAAGCTAACTTTAATAAACCGGTTGTTAATACTAAGGTTCTAAATAAACATTGTATCAGCTTAAGAGACAGGAAGGGAGATAGGAACATTTGACTCATCCAATCAGAACAAAATTAAATGATCTTAGGAGGAGAATTTTTTGAACTCCTTCCTGGCCAAACAGACAATAAAAAGAGATTGTATTTCTGGTGTAAAATTATTTTTTAATAGAGAATATTCAGAAGCTTGCTCATTATAAGCTGTGAAATTGCTGTTTTTCGCTTTGTGGTGTTATCCAATGTTAGCAAAGTCTTGATGCCTATTGCACTCATCTTGTCACTATACCATTGTTTGGTAATTAAGAAAAAACTTCAAAGATGCTATATGCCATCAAATCATTTCTGGTGACTGGTGACTATATGAGTTACTGACTTCCAAAATGTCCTGTCATTAACAGCTCACTGAGACTTTGCAAACCAACAACATCTCATGTTGTTTTCTTTTCCTACTGCTCCCTTCCTTGCAGTATTGTCTTTTCCATTAAATTTTGCTTTGATCTTGCAAACTAGCAGTTATAGCTTCTTTTGTTGTTTCAACCCTTTTCTTGTTAGGTCTTCCTCTTTTCCTGCAGCTCCACCCAGCAATATACTGTAGTCTATTCTGGTCACGTCTGTATTTCCATTATGTACGTGTGTATGGCAGGATAGGCTTAGCTTACTCTTTCTTCAGGCTTGACTTGATTGAGCACCCATTTTTCTGCTTTTTGGCTGTCTTTTGTATCTGTATGGGTCTCCTCCCACACTACATTTCAAATGAGCTGATTTTTATCCCTGTCTTTTCTTTACTGTCTTTCTTTTACATAGTATGGATGATTTTGACCTTGATTTCCAGTGACAATCTTTGCCAACTAAGTTAGCAATCTTTGCTAACTTCTTCCTTTTTAAAAATTTTATTTCAAAAGGCAAAGGGACATCTTTTGGAAAACATGCACACAACATGGCCATAGAGCTTTTGGCTTGATATAGCTTTTCTTCCTCAGCTTGCCTAACTCAAGGTAAGGGCTTGGAAATTGGAACATAGGTTCCTAGTCTTCATTCTGCAGAGCGGGCATGGCAACATTAGTTTACCCAAGAGGTTAAAGGGTGTGTATGTTTCTGCATTGTATGTGTTGGGCCTACTTACACCTTTGCTTCACCATTTCATTAAACCCAGAAGAGCCCTTCAAATATTTTGGCACAGAGGGACGTGAGCCACATCCCGCCTGTTCTTGTTTCTGTCTGTCCTCTCCTAGCAGCCATAGTACAGGTGTCTTCATCATCTGGAATACTCTAGCACTGGGTAATTCTACATGAGGGAAGTTTCTTTTGGTATTTGGGTTTAATGTACGTATATTAAAGTTTCCAATTAAAAAAGCCAGGGAATTCAATTCTTTAAAAAAAAGGTTTATGAACATGGGATATTCTGCTTCTGTACCCACAGTTCAAACTACAGTACTAGGAAATGGCCCAATACTGTTGCACAATATGGTGCCCGTGTTGCCAGCAAGAAAAAGGATGCCAAGCTTTGGATAGCAAAGGCAGCCTAAATGTTGCCAACACCAATGGCAGCAGTCAAGATGGTCTACAGGATATCCTCTTCTGCTCATTACCATTTAGACTTGACAGCCCTGACAATGATTCGGCTTTGGATGCAAAATGGTAACTGATGAAAGAAATAATCTGCTTATGAGATTTTCCCTTGCATGGTATCACTTTGTGAATGATGGGATACAGGCGGGTATCCCATGGACCATCTTGACTGCTGCCATTGGTGTTGTCAATATTCAGACTCCCCTTTACTATGAAAAGCTTGTCATCCTTTTTCCTGCTGTGGCAACTCAAGCACACTATTGTGGACCCATATTGGGCTGTTTCCTGGCATTTTGAATTCTGGGTACAGAAACACAATATCCCACATTCATAAGCTGGAGGTGTTTTGTTGTTTGTTTGTGTTTTGAAGAACTGAATGGCTCTGTAGAGGTACCAGGTCTATGAGCTTAGAGCAAAGGATGTGGGGTAGTGGCTAGAGTGTTGGATTGGGACTTAGAAAACCCCATTCTAGTCATTGCTGAATTATGGAACTCGTGTGGTTGACTTTGGGCCACCCTCTCTCTTTCAGCCTGACCTGCTTCCCAGGGTTGGTATGCAGATAAAGTCAGGAGCGCAAGAGTCAGGGACACACCCTTTGTCTAACTTAAGTAATGTAAGATATAAGTGTAACAGAGATAAACTACTATGATCCCTTTCCTCTTCCTTACAGGTTCCGAAGCAAGATGGCAGCAGCTGGATTCACTATTTCTGGCAACAATCACCCTATTTGTCCTGTGATGTTGGGTGATGCCCGGTTAGCTTCAGTGATGGCTGATGATATGCTGAAAAGAGGTACCAATGTAGGGAAAGAGGAGATTCACATAGACTGTGATCTTTTTGTCCTTAAATGCAGCTGCCAGGGCCCGGACAGCTTTAGGATGGGTTAAGAAGCTTTCTTCAACTTGGTGCCTTCCTGCTGTGCTGGATGGTTATGGGAGTTGTAACTCAGCATACCTTTTGTACCCTAGATTTGGGGGGAAATGGCTTCAGTCTTTTGAGCTGGGAGGAAAATTCCATTTAGTTCCTTTTGCTGGAGAGCTGTCACAGTCAGAATGACTGTACTCCCACCTCCATTTGATTGAATGTAAAGCAAGAGTAATAAAAAAGGCTCAGTTTAAGGCAAAGCAAATAGTATCCCCAACACAAATGTCCCCAGGGATTCCCTGCCCTTGACTCTTTTTATTTATTTATTTAAAATATTTTACCCCGCCTTTCTCTTTACAAAGGACCCGAGGCGGGATACAATAAAAGACTATTAAAATACAGTATTTCAGGACAATATCCTTGAGATAGCTTGGACCCAAGCCATGCTTGATTGTCATTGGAAAGCACTGTTTACTTTTTGGAGTGTCTTCTCCCCTTTGGAAACAAACCATTTATAAAGCACGCTGGCACCTCCTGGAGATACCTGGGAGCACAGATCTGCTTGTAACCAAGGCACATGAAGAGCCGGCATTTTGTTTCAAAAAGAAAAATTACTCTCTTAAGGGTAACTGGTTTCTTGTTTTATGACTTCCTTTTTCTGTAGTAGCAAAGAGAAGGAACACCTTTCAGGATTGGGGGAAGACATAAAATGGAGACGAGGCTGTGTTGCCAATCCTAAATAGCAAAAAGTAACTTCTCCAGGCTCTTTACTTGAGGTACAACAGCATATTTATATGCACAGTGGCATAAAGCTACATGACTAACCAGACATTGCTTTTTACTCCTTCCAAGACACTTCTTGATGTCTTGTATTGTTCAGTAAATTGTCCCATAAAAGTGTAATTTTAGAGATACATGCTAGATTCCTTTGTAGTGTAATAATAATGCACCTCCTGGATCATGTCAGGCATCATCAACCTCTTGAGCCTGCTTTAGAATCCTTCCTGGATCATGTCAGGCATCAACCTCTTGAGCCTGCTTTAGAATCCAGGCAAGATCCCAGGGGAATGCATGTGACGCTGACTTGCGGCCATCATGGAAGTTGGCTTTCTGAAGACAAGATTGCCCTCTACGGAGCTGTGAGGGAATCTCTTATTAGAGGATGCAGTAAAACAGGATGAAAGAGGGAAGGAGGAGGGCCATATATGCCACATTGGATTCAGTGGAGGGAGGAGCAGGCTGTAAATATAACAAATTAAGAAATGTAGAAAACAGCAACAGCCTCCATTTCTCACCAAACAGGTATCTATGTCATTGGATTCAGCTACCCTGTGGTGCCCAAAGGAAAAGCTCGTATCCGGGTGCAGATCTCAGCTGTACATACTGAGGAGGATATTGATCGTTGTGTGGAGGCCTTCACTGAAGTGGGGCAAAAACATGGAGCCTTGCCTTGAAGGGCTAGAGCACATGGACTCTGTGCCACAAGATGCCTTTCAGAAAACTGAACCCAAAAGGCAACATTTCAAGGAGTGGAAAGTGGAGTCTGTTGTCTGGAGCTTGGAATGTTCTTCACATTTTCACCCTGAGTTTGAAAGAAAAAAACACCCTGCTTGCTTGGACTTCAACTAGCAGAACCCTTCATCCATCATGTCCAGTGCCTGTGGAGGTTCTTGGCTTTGGGGAGTTGTAGCTCAAGCAAGTAACTTTTCCAAACCCTGCTTTTACCACTGGTCAAAACAGGCTTTTGTCTAGATTAAAATCTAATTCCGGAAGATATGATAGTGGGCTCAAAGACGTGTGCACACCACGGTTGCCAAACCCTCTCATCACTTCCAGTCCTCTTTCTAAGAGTGACTTGAACAAAGGTCAGAAAAGCTCCTCTTTTTTTAGATTACAGTTCCCAGAATTTTCAGTCAGCATTGCTGTTGGCCATGCAGACTGGGGGGTTCTGGGAACTGTAGTCAAAAAAGAGAGAACCTTTTCCAAGCTCTGCTCTGATGCATATTGGGTATATTCTATCTCTACTAAGGAAAGATCACAATAACCACAGTGCCTGGAGGAGGACAGAGTAATAAAGATGATGTTGACCTCAGTCTCAAAGAATCATTTTTATACCTACCAGGTATCTGTTGACACAGACTGATAATGCTCTTGGCTTGAGATGTGTTCTGAAAGAACCTGAAAGCAGGCATAGAGAATCTGCAACTCTCCAGCTCTTGTTGATGTGCCCCCCCAAACATGGGCAGTGGTTCTAGGGTGATGGAAGTTATGGTTTCATATTATTGGAGAGCCAAAGGCTCTTTAAATTTGCCACAAACCATCAATGAGAAACATCTGCTTCCTTTCTGGTTCATACATTTTTATTGTTTTGTTTCTTTCTAAACGTTGGGAACAGAAATAGATATGAAAATGAAAAAAGATGGGCTTTTAAACTGGTTCCTTCAAGGTAACCCAGGCATAAAAATTGGTTTTGTTCCTCTTTCTGAATGCAGGTGCCCAAGAGGCATTACCTGATTTTCCAAATGGCGATGCTGTGCACAGTGGCTTGGGAATCTAGATCTGTTGAACACAGTTTGTCTTATAACTTGACAGCATATTATAACAATATTTTTGCACATGGTTCAGCTAAGTCCTCCCAATCTTGTTTCCTATTTTATTCACCCCTTTCTTTTCCAGTGGCTAGTTTATATGATTTATTTCCTGAAATCCTGTTGAGCAGCTCTGCATGTACAGCAGACATTATGTTGTATCAGTTGCAAATCACCACTGATTAAAGATTATTTAATGGGGCATGTAACTTGTACACAGTGGATGAAATTACAATCTCCTGAAATTGCCCAAGGAAACCTTTAATCAGCTGCAACTTGACACTAATGATATCAGCACCATTTGCCACGCAGAGCCATACAACAGGATTTCAGCCTTTCTGTTGTTTAGTACAGGCTTTCATAATCACAATACACAGGTTTATATGTTGGTTCTTGGCACAGAATGCCTATTCTAGCAAATCTTAATCTATCATCTTAACTTTCCTTTAAAAATTATATATATAGGTGGGCTGAACAAGATTGCAAGTAGCCAGAAGTGCACTTTTTCTCAAGAAGCAAAATGACTCCCTTTGGTACAATACAGTGTAGTGTACTGGAGTACGTCATCTTTTTTTTTCCCTTTTTTATATATTTATTTAGGAACAGGGATAAAGGGTACAAAAAGAAAGAGGGGATAGAGAAGGAAAAATACGTCATCTCACTGTGACAGTATAGTTTATGCACAATTGGTCACACACTGTAGTTGGCAGTAAGTGCTGTTTATTTCAAGATCAGCCGCTGTGTAGTGCTGCTGTCTGTCTGAGGATAACTGTCTGAGGGAGGAGGGAAGCCTATCATCCATTGTTCCTCTTATCTCAAGAGCACTCAGGTGTGTGTACCTGCCTTTACATCCTCGTCTTCACTCAATAGATAATATCATCCAGATGATCCTAGATCTTGAAATGCAAAAATATGAGCAAAGTTACATGACCTCATGTGTTATAGCTTTAAGGAAGCAGTGACAATATATGTTTTACTAATATCAAATCATACATTTCTGGGAATGAATAAGATAGGACAATGATAATAAATAATGTTAAAACTGCAAAGCTAGACAGTAGGGACTGTGGATCATCATGCCCAGACCCTGTCAAGGAAGCACAGTAGGGAATATGATCTTTTAATAAGGTACACCATACAAAGTCAAATGCCCTCAGTTGTAGGATGTAAGCTTCCAGGAGAATACACTTAAATATCATTATAAATCTCTTCCCAAAGATGCAATGTGAACTTATTGTAGCTTTCCGAAACAGACATTTGCAGCAGATATGCCTGGAGACCAGCAAGAGGATAGGCTCAAGTCAGAAAACAAGATGTGGGCCACACGTTTTGCTTCCTTTACCAAAAGCACCACCGCTTGAGGCATTGTGGAGATCTTCCTCTCTAGAAAAGCCCAGTGTCGTAGTGATGAGCTTCTGATAGATTGAGGCGCAGCTTGTGGTGGGGATTATATTCCCTGTTTTACATTGTTTGACTCCCCAAAATGGATCTAACAAAAGAATAGCCGCCTAGAGTTGTCATAACGACCAGATAAGTGGGGTATAAATAGAATAAATAAATAAAATTAAAAAAAGAGGAAATAGCTGCCTAGAGTTGTCATAATGACCAGATAGGCGGGATATAAATAGAATAAATAAATAAAATAAAAAAGTCAAAAAACATCTTTTGAAACACCAAAAATGGAGGTTTGCCTTTATGGAAACCATTGCTTGCAGCCTGATCACTAGGGGGCACACTTGTAACAATCCAGTTCTTCGACACACAGGCTGAAGTATCTGCAAAAGCAAGCTGTGACAACATGTTGGATTTGCATTTCAGTGTTCAATGCCATTAGTTTGATGCATTCACAGCTGTTGCACACTTTGAAGATTGTTGGGGGGGAAAAGTAGAGTCAGTGGTCTGACTTTCTCTCCCCCTCCCACCTGGAGGGGGAGAGGGATGGAATGCTTTTTTTCAGTCCTATATGAATAATCTTTTCCCTCACTGTAGTGAGGAAAGATAAGCTAAGGTGAGCTGAAAAGTGGGGTAAAATTATTTTAATTAAATAAAATATAACCCCCACAACATCTATGGAAGAGTGAGAATTACTTACTCCCTCTGGGGAATAATACACATGCCAATACACTATTGTGGTGTGTCATATGTGCAAGCAGTTCCCTGTTGAAACAAGGCATATGGGAGAATGCAAAGAGGTGGAGACTGTGGTCCACCACAGATGTGGCCACCTTAGAAGTATCTCATGTAATTTCCAGGAACTGGCAGATGCCCAGGGATTCTTGGATAAGCAGTCCTGGATATCTGTGTACTTTAATGCTCATGTTTACAAATATACCATGGACCATTTGGTGAAGCACAACGGATTAGGAAACGGGGTACAAAGATCCATGCAGGGAGGAAATCTTGAGGATGCTGGAATGTCCTCTTATCAGCTGAGAACCAGGTGAGTGGAAAGAGTCCTTTTTCTTGCTGGTCTAAATTAGTGCAATTTAGAAAGAAAAAACTGAAGAAGATAAATTGTGATATAAGGACAAAAGTGATTCTTTGTTCCTATTTGCATACACAAATAATCTAAACAAGAATAACAAAGAATCCTGCAACAACCTTAAAACCAACAAGTCTTTATCTGGCATAAACTGTCATGGATTGTAGCCAGTTTCATCCTCTAATGCAGCAGCCTGTAGACCATTGAAGTATATGTCCAATAAGACTCGTTAGTCTTTAAGGTGCATAAGACTTTCAATTGATTTTGTAGAAACAAGAATAAAATTCCCAACCCCTGGCTTGATACACCCCCTCTCTGAACTATCCAGCCAACTAGCCTGCCAAAAAGTCACAAATTCTTGGCAGTTAGGATTCGGAAGAGATGGCACATCATACTTGCAAGAGGATATGTAGACTGAAAGAGAGAGAGTTCTTAGTAATTATCTGTGTCCCATCTATGTATTCTGTATAGATACCACTGGTTGAGTACCACTGCCCTACCAACAGAGCTTGGAAAAATTGCTTTGTTAGACTACAGCTCCCAGAACCCCCAGCCATGGAGATTCTGGGAATTGTAATGAGTACCACTGCCCTACCTACAGAGCTTGGAAAAATTGCTTTATTAGACTACAGCTCCCAGAATCCCCCAGCCATGGAGATTCTGGGAATTGTAATCCAACCAAGTAATCTTTCCAAGCTCTGTTCTTCTGTGAGGTGCCCCAGGACTGTTGCTTTTGTTCTCTCTTATTAGGATGCCAATCTGTCTGAGGCTTCAAGAAGAGTTCAAATAGTACATTTCTTGTTTCTTCCGTGGTGCGTTTGTTACATCAGTTTCCCAACCCACAGATTCTCTGACATAAATTCATCTGCATGAAATGCTGTCTTGCATACTCCCACTCTATACACATTTTTGTAAGACTGTGTGAGCCTCCCCAAAACTAGAATTTTTTAACAAGAAGAAGCTGTTTCAAGAATTTGAGAAACATGGCTTTAGCAAATCTTAACTTCCTCTCAGTGAGCAGCACCATGACCCTAATAGCAAGCAAGACTATTAATATAATAATGGCATGTCTTCAAGTTGATTCTGATTTATGGTTACTCTTTCCAGGGTTTTCTATGTAGAGAATACTCACAACCGGTTTAACATTCCCTTCTTCTGGTGGCATCTTGGGACTGTGCAGCTTGCCCAAGGCCACACAGGTTGGCTTTTCTCCTCGGAGGCATAGTGAGAAATCAAACTCCCAACCACTGGTTCTGCAGTCAGATACCCATAGTGAGAAATCAAATTCCCAACCACTGGTTCTGCAGTCAGATACCTAAACCACTGAGCTATCCAGCCAGGATTACTCCTCACTAAAAATAAAAACATTGTTATTCCTGCATGAGATAAAATCCTACAAAAATTAACTGTTTCTTTGTGTACGTGAACACACATAAACAAATGTTTGGCTTTAAAATCTGGCTTCTTTCGTTTAGTGGTCCCTTGCTATTTTTTACTTCCAAATATTTTATTTTCACCACATATTTTCTCTGTACTCCTTCCTTCTTGGCACTTGAGTTAGTATCAGACTGCAGCTTTGGGTAACAGCAAGATGCATGCTGGGAAAGGAAAAGGACTGCACTATTAAAAATTTAGTGGGAGGAAAAATGCATTACCGGTAATAATATACTTGCTATTGATCTTGATATCCACATTTGCACAGGGATCACAGCTCGCTTCTGATTTCTGAGCATTCATAATGTGTAGAATGTTGCAGGATGAGAAATTTGTAATTTAACCAGCAACATTCATGTGTAGCCTGTGTCTTGCCATAGGACATAATGCACCACAATGAGCCATGTGTTCCTTATCTTGCCTGGAACACAGACATAAAGTGTTTGGTCCATCCTGTGCAATTCTTTACTCTTGGAGTTCCAGCCCTTCTGCGTGACATGTTTTGCTCTCTGCTGCTAGACCAATTCAATTATTTTCTGCTCCTGCCACTGCATCACAAAACTGCTACATTCTTAATTACGAATCTTCTGTCTGATTCTTACCCCAATAGTGGTCTGACAGACAGTGTTGAAGTACAAGGAGTTAAGGGAGGTGCTCCCATCTTTACTTTTTGTCTTTGTAACATGGGAAACAACTGACACCCTGGGAATGATGAGGACAAATTAGATCAAGGCAATGCCCTAGTTGTACTTTAGAAATATCACTTGACATTTATATTTCTAACCAATTTTCATTGGTCTACAGCTCTCACTCATGGAGTTATAGACCAACATATCTGAAGAATTTCAGAGTGAGGAAGGCTAATCTAGAAATTACAAAGGTAGGCAATTTGTTCAGCTCCATTAAATGCAATTTAAGATCTCATGTTACAAAAAAGAAAATGCAACCAAGTAGCAGCTGTGCAGTACCAAGTACTTAGGTCAAAGTGAACAGAACAGATTGTCTTGTCTCTGTAGCAGCCCTGCAAGTCTACAATGAGAAGGCCATCAACTGCATGAACTATGGACATGAGCCTCTTGTACAGGTCCCAGTGCCCATCTCCATTCACTTCCATGGCACCTGAACCAAGAAAAACCCACCCAGTTGGATTGTGCTAGTGTCTCTACATTTAAGGTAAGTTGGGAAACTTTTGGATTTTGAGATGCTTTGGCCTACAATTCTCAACAACCCCACCCAGCTTGGCCGGTTGTTAGGGTTTAGGGCAGACCTGGGCAAAGTGCGGCCCGAGGGCCACATACGGCCCGCCGGTCGTCGCTCCAGTCCGGTGTTCAAGCCCAAGACAGTCTGGATTTCTCTCACTGAACAAGTTGAACATCAAAACCGTTTATAGCTTGTTGATCAGTTATCTTTAACATACCGCAAAAAAAACCTCTTTAGTATTTGTGAAGATTAACAAGTTTAAAATAAAAACAATCATAACATCACTGTTTCATTTTATTTTTAAGTAAAGTTGTTTTGGCCCCCGAACACAGTTCAGATTTTTCATGTGGCCCCCCTATAGAAATTAATTGCCCACCCCAGCTTTAGGGGAATCATAGTCCCAGATGTCTAGCCTTAGAAGAGGTAACTAAGTTAAGTCTATGCTAGTACGTCAGGCAACAACGACATTTTTGTCTTCTTTATTTTTTTTTCTTGTGACACCTCCAAGACTAACTGCTGTATTGTAATGTAAGCTTTCATGGGCAAATCTGAGGAAGTGGACTTGTCCACAAAAACTCACATTAAAACTAGCAGTTAGCTTTTAAGGTGGCACAATATTTTTTATTTTACTTTTTAATAGAATAATTATTGTGTATTTGCCAAATATCTAGAGGACCAACCCCCCCCCTCCCCATCACCACCACCATCTAAGGCAGAGTAAATCATGTTCAGACAACATGACAACTGTTTTGGCTCAAGGTGGGGTAGGGGAATCAGCATGGTTTGTTAGCCAAAATACTTGTTAAGATCCTTTATTTCTTCACACAAACGGTAGGTTTGCACCTTAGTGACAATTACACGTCTGCATCTTTCCTCTCAACAACATTGAAAAGGTAAAGTTTCTGCTGCCAAGTTACCAGTATGCTTCTTCGCAGTCTGCAAAAGATGTTGATGCCTACAGTTCATTCCCTTTCCTTTTTCGCCTTTAGATGTGCTGCTGATTCTGGCTTTGTCTTGTTGCTGTGGAGACCTCCCCAAGGCACACCACGATGAGAGCGTCATTGCCTATCATCTTGTGCTATCATTGCCCTTTAGATCACATACCATGAGACTATTCCTTCTTCCTCTTGAGCTTCAGTGTTCAGCTGATTAGGAAATGACAGCAAAAACCCTTCAGAATCACCACATACCATATTTTGATCAGCAGGTACATTTGCATGCAGCCACAACAGGATAAGGGATTTGTCTCCAATTGCATTGTTGAAGGGACCTCCCAGGACTCTGAGACTGGTCCCTGTTTATCCAACAATGCCACGCCAACAGTCTGATGTGGGTCACCTTGGCGGGCTTGCAAGTCATGCCTCGAGGCCAAGAACATCCACCATAAGTAAGGTCACAGTCTGTATGACGAATCCAGCGGGGCCAGAAAATGGATCCCATATCCACCCAGGAAGAGGTCAGGTGGCAAGTAGCAGTATCCACTAACCACTGCTGGAAGTGATGAATGATGGTTTGACTTAGGTTGTGAGGAATCCTGTTCTCAGACGTCAGCAGTCCTGAAAGATCTAATCCCTCTGTCTCCTGAAAGAGCTTCTTCTGAAATTGCATCGTATGTTCAGCCAGCTCCTGGTTCAGGGTGCTCAGTCCTTCTAGGCTTGCATTCTGATCTTGAGGTTCCTCAATGGACATCCAGAAAGGGTCATAGGAAGAGCCCAGCAGTTTCATCAGCCGGGAGGTACGCAGGCGCTTGGGTTTGGGTAGATAGTGGTGGTAGTCATCAGGGGAGAGTGACAGGCTGTAGGGCTTTGCTTGAGCGCCCAGTTTACTCCGAATGAGGTGGAGATCAAGACCGGTCTGGCTGATCTTGCTGATCTGACTAGATGGCACAGCAGCTTCACTGGGAGTAAACTCTCCTCTTTGAGAAAAGGAAACTGCGCCAGCTTGAGGACATCTCTGGCACCGAGGTTCCAGAAGCAGCATACTGACTAAAAGCACTCTGATATCCATGACTTGCCACTGTTCCTTCAAGACTCGTGCCTCTCTTAACAGCAGCAAATGTGACCCTGTGGGCTGATTTCCTCCACCCACTTTCCTTATCACCAGAACCCTTTGGCCGAGAGTTTGCTGGATTCCCTTTCCCCTGATTGCAGGCAGTTAAATCAGTCAGCCTGGCTATTCTCAGTGATGTCAAGAAAAAAAAGGAGATGGAAATGGAAATGGCCTACTTTACAATCCAGTTGTGTTATGCTTTATTTTGCTACATTTACACCTTGCCTTTCCTCCAATGAGCTCAAGATTGCTCTCCCTACTTTAAGTTCCCAACAACTCTGTAAGGTGGAACAGTCTGACAGGCCTAAGGGCATTCAGAAGGTTTTATGGCTCAGTGCAGTGTTGAACCTGGATTTCCCAGTCCAGGGTGTAGCAAATCTTAGTGGGTTTAGAGATAATATACACAAATTCAACCTGAAGGCTAAATTCAGTGCTGAAGATGTTCTCAGAGGTCATGATCTAGGAATGGGAAGGCTAGGGACAAAAAGGTAGGAGCAAATGTGCCAGCATATTTTCCAGTGCTTAAAAGCACAATATTTTTTACTGCAATGTGCAAAATACCATAGCCAACTAAGTAGAGGCACATAGATCCACAGAGAAGAATAGCTATAAGTTCCCCAGAGTCCACCCCTTTCTCAATAACTGACACTTAAAGTTTCAATAACTCACTCTGAGACATTTGTAGGGAAAATAATTTTTAAAAATATGTCTTACAGTTACTTGAAATTGCAAACTTGTGCATGCTGCTTTCTTTACTGCATGCATCCTTAGCAACCAACTGAACAAATCAACAGCAAACAAACAAATGTCACCAATCCCGGAAAGAGCACTTGGCAGACTGGTGGTGGGACTTTCTTTGAAATTAAAGGCTGAAAGGAATGATAGGTTAGTTTAGAACAGATAACCACATAAGCTCAGATAAGTCTTTCCCAGGAGAACAAATTAAAACAGCATGAGAGGTTGCACGTAAAACACTAACTAAAACTGCCCCTAGAGCTGTCAGAGATGCCCACCCCATATAATCATATCCAGGCAGAGCTCTGGGCAAACCATATGCTTTCAGTGACAGAGACACACTACTTCTAGTCCCTCTCTGGATGTATTGTTATGATTCCTGCACAAACACTGGTGTGTGTGATTCCTGCACACACCCCAATGACACAATGATCTCCATCTTGGGACTAAGTTTATTGACAGACCTCATTGTTATAATGCCTGGTGAAATTTCTGATTTTCTGTGCTTTCTTTTTCTTTCTTTTCTTTTCTTTCTTTTTTTTGGGGGGGGAACCACATAGTTGGGTGAAGAATTCTGGAAACCTTTGTGGAATTTTAATTGGTCCTAATAAATATGGGGGTATAAACTGTGACTTGGTTCATCCCTGCATGCTAAACAAGACCCTGATTTTTATTCTCCTCGCATTGAGGGGTATGATTTTCACAGTGCACATTTGAGAGAGGGTTTTTTTGTACAAGTGTGCTAATCTTACAATAACTGCGGTCTTACAACTGCATGGATTTTTGAAAAACAAAAATATTGGTTTCTGTTGTTTGCAACTTTTTGAGCCATCAGCCTGCTTTGTTGTGCTTGTGTGTGCCCAGCTTCAGAAAAGGGAAAATAACTAGAAATATTTTGCACAAATTGTGAAAACCACAATGGGAAAAAAAAGGATTTGGTGACCCATTCTGGGGGAAAGGACTTTGGGACAGGTGGAGAATCTTCAACAGCCTGTCTCAAAGCTTCAAGCAGCAAGCAAAATACTGGTGAAATGTGTTCACATCCCCAATGAACTTCGGGCATTGTTTTGTTCTGATGGACCAACACATACGGCTGCTTGTGTTTTTGTACACCCGTCTACAGTAAGTGATACATCACCTTATCAGAACTATGGCTTGGGAAATAAGGCATAGGAATTATTTACTTAACTTTGAACATTGACAAGGCCACATACCTTTAGATGCACCTGCTTCCATGGCAACAAAGCAATTTCAGTAAGAGTCTCTGGTTCATTTTGTTTCTGTCTGCTACATAATGTAACTATAACTGCATATATGAGCAACACAGATAACTCACAACTGATGACAAAAGTATCAGTGTGCTATGGAGCTGGAATTCTGTTAGGGCACAACGAAGCTGTGGCCGGGCAGGACAAGTTGCAGACCCCATAGATTTTCTTCTCTCATGTGTGTACCATGTACGTATTTCACTATGCACTCTCTAAGCTAGCCAGCTGCCCTCAGGTGTGATGGAGGACCTGAATGCTATTATTAGTACTGAAGTAAGGTTCAAGGGCTAATCTAGGTGGCTTCTGCACATGGATACCCAGTGCAGTGCAGAGACTAGAGAGATGGACTAAGACTCAGGAGGCCTGGGTTTGAATCCCTGCACAGCCATGGAAGCTCATTGGGACTGGAAAAACCTCTCCTGAAATACCTCACTTACCTGAGCCATGGAAGCTCGTTGGGGGAAAGGAACTGGAAAAACCTCTCCTTAAATACCTCATTTACCTTGAAAGTCCCATTTAGGTCACTAGAAGTCAGTTCTGGCTTGATGGCAAGTCACTAGAAGTCAGTTCTGGCTTGATGGCACATTACAACAGCAACACCTTGGGGATAGCTCAGATGTAAATCAGATGTGATGGTCATAAACTCAAAGAATAATTGAGTTGGAAGGAGCATATAAGAATGGTCATAAACTCATAGAATAATTGAGTTGGAAGGAGCATATAAGGCCATCGAGTCCAACCCCTGCTCAATGTAGGAATTCAGGTCAAAGATCTGAAAGATGGTTGTCCAATTTTCGCCTGCTCAATATAGGAATTCAGGTCAAAGATCTGAAATATGGTTGTCCAGTTTTCTCTTGAATGCCTCCAGCATTGGAGTGCTCCTGAGGTAATTGGTTCCATTGTCATACTGTTCTAACAGTTACAATGTTTTTCATGATTGTTGTTGTTGTTTAGTTGCGTCCGACTCTTAGTGACCCCATGGACAAGAGCAGCTCAGGCCCTCCTGTCTTCCACTTCCTCCTGGAGTTTGGTCAAATTCATGTTGGTAGCTTCAATGACACTGTCCATCCATCTCATCCTCTGTCGTCCCCTTCTCATCTTGCCTTCACATATCATGTTTTTCATGATATTCAGCATAAATCTGGCTTCCTGTAGCTTCAGCCCATTATTATGTGTCCTGCACTCTGGGATGATCAAGAACAGATCCTGCCTGTCCTCTGAATGACTACTTTTCAAGCATTTGAAAAATGCTATCTTATCTCTCCCCAGTCTTCTTTTCTCAAGGCTAAACTTGTCCAGTCTTTTCAGTCTTCCCTCATAGGACTTGGTTTCCATTCCCCTGATCATCCTTGTTGCCCTCCTTCATCCATGTTGGACATCTCACAATTGTAATCGAGATGTCTTTCAGAGGCCTTGTTGAAGGTCAAAACAACAGTCTTGAGGCAACTCCTTCAAGATGAACAAAATTGATTTGACATAAGCATCTCTGGATTGCAGCCCATCTCTGGAGATCCATCTGATGGAGTAGGAATCTGATGGGGTGGACTGCAGGGCATGAAATTGTATGTCGTATGAAACTTGTTTATCTTGAAAGTGCCATAAGACCCTGTCATTTTTGTTGCCACAGACTAACCTGGAACTTTTCTGGAAATTCCTCCAGCATCCACTTTAAAAATCCTATTTATGAAAAGGCTTCTTTCGTTCTTTTCAAACCCTCTGGATACTATCAGATAACAGCATCATAACTGGCGAAACAGCCAATGTGTGGGCCTCCAGATGTTGGGCTGCAATTTTCACGATCCCCTCCTATTAGCTATTCAGACTAGGACTGATTGGAGCTGCCATCCAAGAAAATTCAAGCAGTCACAAGTTAGCAAATAATCAACACAGTCATTTATGCAACTACTACAATGTATGATTCTTGATCCCCTGAGTAGCAAAAGGATGTGTGCAATTTCACATATTAAGCAAAATAAACCTGACTATGCATTCAGTGTACTGTCAACAAGAAGCTGTAGCAGGCAGGTAACAGTTTTCTGTTAATGCCTGGAATACCTGGGTGACTGGAGGAAAATATTTATTGCTACTTCTTTGTTCATGTCTGAAGCACCACCAAGCAATAAATATATCAACTATTTTTTGCCCAATAATGGGCATCATCAAGAACATTTGGGGCGGCTAACATCAAGTCTTCCGTGGTACATGTTGAGGGGCACAGAGTACATTGACATAGGTGTGAAGCTGCCTGTTCCTGCACTTGCAAACAACTGGGTTGCTGTGAAAACCCAATTTGGATCTGCCAATTGTAGCCTATTAAGTAACATCCAAGTAATCTAGTTCTCTGTGTGAGTGGAGGTGAGACTTTCCTGGAATTCCATCTGGTTTAAGAAGCAGTTATTTCTTTCCACATTATAGTCCTGACATTCCCAGGACTATAATGTTCTGAAATCATGTTGTGAATAATGTTCACAAATGTTCTGAAAATAATTTGTCTTTCATTTTAATCTGGGAAGGATGACATGCTTTGGGTCTTTCATTATTAGCTGCTATGTCTTTTTGTATGCAGGCAGGCAGGCGGGCGGGCGAGCGGGCGGGCGAGCGGGTGAGTATCTATCTATCTCTCTATCTCTCTATCCTACCCCATAGTGTACACATTTCCTGGATGGTTTACAGAACATTACAACTAGCCATCTGGCACAGATGGCTAGCCCGATTACCACCCATCCACAGAACCCGCCGGACCACTTACTGCACAGCATGTGGCACACATGGACGTCATCTCCTGCACCCCAATTGCAGCAATAGTCCGGCTCCTGCCTCCCTGCTCACCCAGCCACTCCAGCAAAGGAACTGGAGAATAAGTCTCCCTGCTCAGCCTTGGAGTGGCTGGGTGAGCAGCAAGGTGGGGTTGTAGCAGCCAGGTTACTCCTGCGATTAGGGTGCAGGAGATGATGCTGGCCATGTGTGCTGCGTGCTGTGTGGTAAGTGGTCCAGCAGGTTCTGGAGGTAGGTGGTAATCAGGCTAGCCACCTGTGCCGGCAAGCTCCATATTTGTATACAAATATGAAGCCCCCATGTCTAACTTACAACACATAAAAATACAATGCATACCCAACAATTCATACTCAAATAGATAAAACTCCGTACCTGGCTAAAACCTAATTTTCAACAAAATTAAAAATTGATTCTTTGGTTTTGTCAACCCCATGGTTGATTTTTAACATTGAGGGCTGCTTCAGGCATCCAGAAATGATTCTGCAGCTTTCAGTGAGCATTGTTACATCTACCTGTTTTGCATGGGCTGAAGTATCTGACACTGGGCTGATATATTTGCCTGCAGTGTCGAATAGGGCCAAGACTGTTGTTCTTAATGTTTATAGTTGTGTCCCCCAACTCGCTGTTAATAGCTTTTGAAGAAAATTGCTCCTTGCAGAGACATTTTGCTTTGCATTTTGATAGCATGTCTTATTGGTCAGTATGTAATCCAAATAACACCTTGGGAGTGTCTGGGTGCCCTTCTAACATTAAGTTTCTGAAATATCTGCTTGTTTCTTAGCCAGAAGGCATATATCTGAACCTTCACAGAGCTGAGTTTAAGTTGATTTATATGTGGCAAGTGTTTCTATTGCATCTGTTGGAAGATATTCTACTATGTGAAAGCTGCCAGACCCAATAGCAAGCGGCACATCATCAGCACAAATAAAACTTTTGGTGCCTTGAGGAAGTAGTTGGTCATTGGTGTAGAAAGATGTTAAACAAAATAGGAGGCAATACAATACACTGGGGTAGACCATCCTTTTGAGTCCTCCACTGGCTGATGGAAAACCTGTGGTTTTGCAAAAGGGTTTCTATAACTTTAATAACAGAAGTAGTGTGGGAAGGTAGCCTTCTCCTTTTGCCTGCCTTCTGCTTGCCCTGATAAGGAGTACAACTGCAATATAATTTTGTGAATTGCATTTTAATCCCTCTTCCCGCCCTCCCAGTTCAGCACTACAAGGCTAAAATTAGCTGCCCAGAGTGGCCTGTTGCCAGATGGTGCAGTGTATAAATCCAATAAATAAATAAATAAATACTATAGCACTAAATTGATACATCACTAATTCAAATGCTTACTGTGTCTTATTAGTTCAGTGCTGTTTTCACTTGCTAAACATTAAAAAGAAGGGCTTTGAATCCCAGTGAAAAGGATAGGTAAGAGGGTCATAATTTCAGAGGAGGGTGATGGAGAAGGGGGGCTGTGTAGTGCACCTTCCCAGGAAAATTAAACATTTGTATGTGAACTGCATAGTGATTTAAATGCCAGGATGCAATATAGAGAAGTTTGCATGTACGCAGGATAAATTTCTGTGTGGTCACATGCTAAATTGAGGCTATTGTAACTTTTGACCTATCATGAGAGGACAATATTCACTGGAAAAGACAATAAAAATTGGGAAGGTAGCAGGAAAAAAAAGATCAGCAGGAAAAGATTTGACACACTAAACGGAAGCCATGGCCTTGGAGTTGCACAAAATGATAAACACTTTTGGAGGTCACTAATTTATAGGGTCTCCATAACTCGGAAAATTTTTGATGGCATATATCAACAGCAAATATTGCCCACCCTTGAATTAGATCCCTTGACACCAAGCACAAAACCTGAGATTTTCTGCCTGTAAATTACAGTGCTCTACCACTGTATTCCTAGTGTGATGTAGTGGATACAGGGACAGACTAGGACTCTGGAGAAAAGGGTTTAAATCCCCACTTAGCCATGGAAACTCACTAGGGGTGTGGAACTGGTAAAACTACTCATTAAATATCTCACTTAACTTGAAAGCCCTATTAAAGTCAATATAAGTCGCTTCTGACTTGACACCACAGAAAACACCTTGAATCCTCCATGTATTAAGAAACCTCCACAGCATGTTAGCAGGGATTCTAAAATAGCTTTCTGCATCTAGCTCTGATTCAAGGACAGGCAACATTCAGTCCTTCAGATGTTGGATTATACATTCTATGATCCATCACCATTAACTATACTGTGTAGACATCATGAGAAATGTAGTTCAGCAACATTTGGAGGGCCAGACATTCCTCAGGCCTGCTATTTTTAATTTAGCAGGAATGGATCATTGGAATGAAACACACAATCCCATGACAAGCAAACACACACTGGCTGTGGAAGAAACCCTTGAAAATTCTGCTTGTGACCATCCCAAGATTACTGTGAGCTGGTTCCCTTCATGGCCATAGGGAGGATGTATATTTCAGCATGCACTAAGAACTACTAAGAAATGTAGTTTTGGAAGAGGTAGCTGTAATAGTCTGTGCAAGCATATCAGGCAAAATGAAATAAAAGGAAATGTACGGTATATGAAATGTCAGTTTCACATTCTACACGTTCATTGGTTACATGCAGTTGTTAACTAAGGAACGGCAGACTGGCATCAGGAGATCCAGGTTCAGATCTCTACTCTGATATAAAACTCATTCGGTGACTTGGGATCAGTTGCTCTCTAAGCCTGATCTACTTGCACAGGGCTGGTGTGAGGATTAAGTGGAGAGGAGAAGCTCTATGTAGGCAGCCTTGAGCTCTGCTGGAAGAAATGTGGTGTATGTATTATACAAATAACAAACTAAATGTTCTCAATACATGCTGGGATCCCAAGTCTCTATATTCTAGAAGGGGGGGTATGCTGTTCCCCCCCCCCCCGGCTGTCAAGACAGTTCTCTAGTTACATTGTTCTGCTGTACAGCTAGCAAGCCGATCTTGCTGTTTAAAATTAAGTAGCAAAATATGTTCTGCTCCTATAGGTGGAGGTCAGCGGACAAGAAATATATATGTCTCTGTTCTCTGCATCTATAGATTCCCTGTAGAACAGGAATGGCAGTGCCAGGAAAAGAGGTTTGCAACACTGATCAAATGGATAGGATAGATATATGGTATTGGTAAATCGGATCTGGCCAAAGGAGGGTTAACCACCAACCTCAAAGAGAGAGAGAGAGAGAGAGAGAGAGGGAAGGAACGAAAACATCACTGGGGTTGGCACTGCAAGAGCAAGGGAGTGGGAGCACAGATCTGGAAAGAGACATCAAAGGAGGAGGGGAGGGAGAGAGAGAGAGAGAGAGAGGAGCAGATGTCGAGGGATGGAGAGATGCCCAGCGAAGTACAGTAGCTGCAGCACGAGAGGCAGAAGCGCCGAAAAGCTCTGCGTTACACTGCAGCTTACAAAGTTTCCCTCAAGCCCTCTTCCTTTGGCCCTGGAAAGAAGTGGGACAGGCAAGGACTTCCCCATGTCGCCCAGCTCTCGTTGCTGCGGGACGGTGAAGACCTAAAGGAAGCCTGGAGGCGCCCCCGCGACACCTTTTCCCTCCCTCACGAGTGAGTGCGGCTGCCTTTCAAGGAGGAAGGCTAGAAGAGAAGGTAAAAAAAAATTAAAAAGAGGGAAAGGGCTTCTCGGGTCGGTGGCTCTGGCGGCGCCTCCCAGAGGGAGGTTTCCGGGAGGGAGCGGGACGTTGGCGCTTCCGAGAGTTGCCCTGTTCCGCCGGCAAAGCTGCGGCTTACTTTTCGTAACTGCACAGCGGAAGGCATTGGTGCAGGTCTCTCCCCTCTTTCCTGGCACAAGTACTGCAGTCGTTGCGAGGAGGCTTCGAGGCGGGGAGCGCGCAGTGGCCCCCACCCCGTTTGAGGCGCTGTGAGGAAAAGAAATACGCGCTGCTTCCCAGTATGGGGCGGCGTGGGGCTCCGTGGGGACAACAAAAGGAGCACCTATTCCCCCCCCCATTTGGGTTTGGGACGTGCCGGCGAGGGGATTCTGGGAGTTGTAGTCCAGAAAGCAAGGCGTTCCCAAGCTCTGGGGTAGAAGGCGACAGGTGAAGGGGAGGGGGAAATATGGATAACACGGCACCTTCCCACGAAGAGGTATGGGAAAAGAGTTGGGTGTGAATGGGGTGTGTGTTTTGTTTGTTTTTTAACGGCCGTTCCCGTCCCTCTGGACGGGGGATCCTGGGGATTACAGTAGAAAATAAATAAATAATGATAATAATAATAAAACTACTTTCCACCTCCCACCACAGGGAAAGAGCCTGAGCATCTTCTGAAGACAAAACCATGCAAGACCAGTTGGTTGGGACAAGCTTCAGTGGCCTAGGGGAATCCACAAGGGGTTGTTTTAGCGATATACACTGAATATTGCAGAAACTAAGCATAGTCATATTGACCGTAAGGAAAAATCCCAATTACACGACAGTGTACTGTTATATTAATTAAACGCATAAATAAAATTTTGGCAATTAAGTGGTTGCTGCAGACTAGGATGGTGGGGCATGTGGTTTCCACCTTTTATTGATTTGCTTAATTTGCTTTTAATTTGTCTTATGTTTTAATTGGCCTTATTCCTTTTGGTGTTATCATCCAACTTAGATCTTATTTTGTGGAGATAAAAAGGAGGCTACAAAACTCATATATATGTAGAGGATACATCTCTGTTAGACCATACAAAATATATGTATGCTTTCAGGACGTCTCTTTGTTAGACATGTTGCAAAAAGGGAGGGCAGTGAACATTAACTTGATGTTGAAGCATTTTCATATTGGGACATTATACAGATACCATTGCGATTGTGTTTTGCCTCCCCCACCCCACTCCCTGCTTTTTTGTACCACCTGGTGCAGAGGTCTGGGGATCTTGAAAGCTTGCATGCATTTCTTGTGCCTTATTGGTGAGCCAAATAAAATATTACTCTAAAATGGGTTCTGGAAATTTTGGAATAATATGTGTTCAACTGTTACTTGACTGTCTCTTTATACTACTGTTCTTTATAGTAATATTCCGCTTATAGAGGTTATCTGCTACACATGTTTTTGCAAATCGAAGGTGAAATATTTTTAAATAAATAGAAATCTTCTGGAGAAATCTAGTTTCTTCTGTGTTTCTGAAAAGCACTTCTGAAGTAAACAGTAGAGAGGAATATCTCAAGAGAAGTATGTATAAGAGTTGACAAGGCACAGATCTCCATCACTGAGCAACCTTTCCAGTAGTGAAAAAGATGGTTCCTTCTCTCCATTTTGATTTTACAGATTACTTTAACGTTAAGCCAGGTCCTGTAAAGCTTGAAGTGTGTTCATTTTGATGCAGACCCTGGGGATCCAAGACCTCCTTCAAATATTGCATATCTCTTTAAAATGTCTCTAACTCTAGCTTCAGCAATGTGGTCAGATGCAATATTAAACAACCCTTAATATTTCTGTAATAGACAGAAATCTATCAGGTGCAGTTTCCCCAGATGCAGGAAAAACTCAAAATATTCCATTTTTTGTCACATCCTAAAAGTACAGGATGTGGGAGAGGGAATCAGAATGCAGGTCAGAAAAAAAGTTTGTTTTGTTTTTGGATCCCAGCTCCCTCAATGAATGCTGCTGGGAAATGTAGGCCAAAACAATGGTTCTAGCATCTGCAAGAGTATCTTTTTTAAACTCTGGGGGAAACATAATTGTTATAGAGACTCAGCTAGTCTTTTGCAGCATTAATCATGACCTCTTTCTTTCCCCCTTACTGTTCTATATTTTGTGTTTGTGCATCGTAATTTAGTGTTGTTATGATTTAGAACTGTTTATTTACATTTTTACTGTATTATTTTAAGACTGTTAGCCGCCTAGAGTGGTCCTCGCTTGACCAGATAGGCGGGATATAAATAAAATAAATAGTAATAATAATAATAAAATTAATCAGAAAATTATACATGCAAACTCTTTCTCTTTCCATCAGAACTCCCTTTAACTCTTCTCTTGTCATCAGTCTGGTCAGCAGTTGCATCCTATCAAACAAGGAAAGGAAGGAGATTCTTATTCACCAGAACAAGAAAAAGGTTTAATAGCTTTTGGAATGTAATGAAGTAGAGCAGTGCCTGGCAGAGACATTCTCCAGCAGGGACCAAAGCCAAAGTTGAAGCTTGTGAGGAACGAGGTCTTGAATCCAGACACCCATAGTGACCTGGGGTTAATCCAGTCTCATGCCAATGTAATCTAAACCACTTGCATCAGGTAGGGAGAAAAGAGCCTTATATCTCCTGATGTCAGGAATAAATTGTGTTGTTTAATGATGCTGACACCTAACAAATGTTGCATACCTCCGAAAGGGCACCCGAAGGCCACCAGGCAAAGACTAAAGCACATTTCATAGGGCATCACTAAGTGTCGTTAGCCATCCCTGTGCTCTGGAAACAGTAGACAGGATATCAAATCCTGAAGACCATGCAATGCAAAGAATTCTTGCATCTGCGCTTCATGTTGGTCAAAGTTGCACTTCGCTTTGGAGGGGGAACATTGCCATCTGCACCCCATATCTGCATCTTTGCCTTTAATGGCAGTGAAACACAGACTTTTTGAGCTGATGATGTCTTTCCCACAACTTTTGCCCGTGGTTAGGAAAAGCTTCATTTGCTCAGTTTCTCCCTCAGTCTCCTCCTAAAGCCTCTTAATTGCAACCAGATCAGAAAAAACAAACAGGCTTCCCTCTTCCCTTTCAGCATAGCTGCAATCCTCAAAACAGCTGGAAAAGAAAGGTGTCCACCCCAGGAACAGGATATTGATGCAAATGTTTTCTGTTGAAAACAAAGTATTTAAAGGTTGTTTGGGCATGAGTGGGAAGTTAAGAGTCATTAGCTTCATAAAAGGCCTAATGATTAATATTGACTTATTGGGCTCTCATTAATGTGGGGTGTGTGTGACTGTGATTAACCACTGCACTTCCAGATTTACCCCTACCTCACTATTGACAATAACTGCTGGAGGACAACAACACTGAGTCACTGGTTTGACTCAGGATCAGACATCTATGTCCCCCTTTTATAATCAGACTCATCATGTACTCCAGTCCTTATTGCAGCACCTAGCCATGGAATGCCCTCCCCACAGAGGTATATGGGGTATCAAATTTGCTGTCCTGAAGATGTTAGATAAACATTTCTTTATTTACCCAAAGATTTTTAAAAGTGTGTGTGTGTGTGTTTGTACACATACACACAATATCTCTGTCTATTGTCTCTCAAACATACAAACTCTGTTAAATTAGTCCATTTCCAGAAACTTCCAGACATTTTTATTTTTCATAGCAGTTCTTTCAAAGTGTGAAAAAAAAGACTCTTTTAAATTCTAGCAGCCCAAATCCCAGCAGGAGCAATCAACATACCAATTCTGAGTCATTTCTTTATGGATAGAATCTATGTGTTCATCTCAGTTGAACTTTTGTCTGTCTGTCTGTCTGTCTGTCTGTCTGTCTGTCTGTCTGTCTGTCTGTCTGTCTGTCTGTCTGTCTGTCTGTCTGTCTGTCTGTCTGTCTGTCTGTCTGTTTGTTTGTTTGTTTGTTTGTTTAACTTATATGCCGCCCACACTACCTAAAGGTCTCTGGGCAGCTTACAACAATTTAAATACAATATGTTATTTTTTCCAAAACTGCCTCAAAATCTTGTTAATTTGATATGTGCTCCCATCTTGCTCCCGCAAATGGCACTCTGGGCAGCTTTGACAGAAGGAAGGATATCAATGTTAAATAAATAAAATCCCCAGATAAGATGTTCCCTTATTTACATAGCACCATCAATAGATAGGCCATATAAATAGTGAATGTGTTACAGAAGCAAGCATAACTACCTGGGAATTGCCCTTTGATGTTGATATCAGTTTGGGATCTTGTTAACACAACAGCTGTTAATAGTAAAATTTCTGTCATTATGATGAATTCTTTCTGTTTTTCAATGAGCTTCCCATTGCTAGTAGTTGTGTCAAACTCAGATCATATTCTTTTTCAGGCACTTCTGCACCATGTTGCACAGATTATAACCAATCCTGGCTGAAATCATACAGTATATGCTGGTGCTTCGTACTAGTGGGAATGAGTGATATTGATTCTGTTTTCTAAAGAAGGATTGAAAGTCATTTCTCTGCCCTCCACTTCAGAATGTTAGAATTGTGGCCAGTGTGTATTGCGTCACGTTTGAAAGCCTGGCATATATTTTGATAGTATTTTATTGTTCATGTAGCACAATCTCAGAGTGTCTGGCTGTTTACAGTATTCAAAGAAAGAGGTCCGTGCCCCGAGAAGTGTACAATCTAAAATTCAAGAGAAGTAGTGAAGGAATGTGGTGGCAGGAATAAAAAGGGATGCAGGTATACTTTGCAGGTGCTAGGGTTGGGTTAACAGCAAGCCATGGGAATAGGGCTTGTGCTAAAGCATTGGTGGAAAAGTTGGAATTTGAGATAATATTTTAAGGATGGAAGAGTTGTAGCATCGCACAAATTTGAGGGTGGAAAGATAGGATATAAATAAATAAGGTGGGATATAAATAAATGAATCAATTCAATGTATTCTCGAAGGCTTTCACGGCCAGGATCTGATGGTTGTTGTGGGTTTTTTGGGTTCTTTGACCATGTTCTGAAGGTTGTTCTTCCTGACGTTTCGCCATACTCTGTGGCCGGCATCTTCAGAGGACTGGAGTAGGAACTCTGTCCATGCTCTGTCCAACATGGTTTGAAGAGGAAGACCAGGAACTTATGCAGGACCCTGGGATGAACAGGAAGCCCATGTGGGGCTTTAAGGAAGGGCATCAGCCAATCACCACTGCCATCTTTTCCTGTTTTGTCAGGTACTTTCTCTTCAATGGGGAGATGCCGGACAGCTGGAATTCATCCATGGACAGTGTAGAAACACGAACTGCAGCCGTTATTGTGCCGGTGGTCTTCTCTCTCATCTTTCTTGTGGGTACGATTGGGAATGGCCTGGTGCTTGCTGTGCTGTTACGCAATGGTCAGGTGAAATATAATACTACCAACCTCTTCATCCTCAACCTGGCTGTGGCAGACCTCTGCTTCATCATCTTCTGCGTCCCTTTCCAGGCCACCATCTACACCTTGGATGGATGGCTTTTCGGGGCCTTTGCCTGCAAAGCCGTGCATTTCCTCATCTACCTCACCATGTATGCCAGCAGTTTTACCCTGGCCACCGTTTCTGTGGACAGGTAAATATGAATGTTCCCTCCTACCTTCAATTCTCAGTAGACTCACCTGTTGTTCCTTGCCAGGTGGGAAAAAGGCTGGCAGATGGATGGACCTGCTTGGAACCAACAGTGCTGGAGGGCCATTTCACCCTCTGTGCTACCTCCATACCACAATCACGCCCATTATCATATCTGATTTTAGGTGCTAATCAAGGTCAGGCCTAGTTAATACTTGGAGAGGAACCCACCAAGGGATTTGGGGCTCTCCGGGGAAGATTCATTCCTGAATTCCTGAAAACCTCACTACCAGTCAGAGTGGACAGTACCAGGACAGAAAGACCCAGCAACTGGCTCAGGGTAAAGCTGTACAAAGGGTATACTTTGGCATCAAAAGCTTTGGAGGATAAGGCCACCAATTGGCTACAGTCAGGATAGGTATATATCACCTCCAGTATCAAAGACAGTATGCCTCTGTATTGAAATGTGTCGTTGCAGTCATGTTCCACTAGCTGGCTACCCAAAGCCAACAGACTGGCCACTGTGTGAACAGAAGGTTAGACGAGATGGGCTTTGATCTAGCATGGTTATTCTTATGGTCTTTTTGCACCATAAGGGCATGACTTAGGGACAGGGCTCCATTCAGCAGAATCCCCAGAGTCAGTGGGATGTTGGCCTTGGCTTACCACATTTTGTAATAATATGGCTCACTCTCTGAAGATGAGGGTCCCATCAAAACTACATCCAGAGCACAAAAATGGTGGGTTGGGAGAGTTACCTTTTGGGATGACTGCCCTCAGGATAAAGGGACAATGCCGAGAACTGTAGGCTAAAAGGTCATATTTCCAAGTTGTCTAGTTGCTATTTCTCCCTTGGAAAAATGGGGGATGGGACCAGATGATGCTTTGACTATTCATATGTTTAACATATGTGACATTTTTTAAAATGTATTTAAAAAATACATTTCCCATTTTACCATAGTGGCTTTCATTTTCAAACTAGAGTGGCTTTCATTTTCAGAAATTAATCTATATATAATAATAATACTAACATGTCATCACATCAGTTCCAAGGATTTTCTAAGCATTATCTAAACACAAAAGTGGTTTACTGTTCCCTTCTTCTGCAGGTGCTCTAGGATTATGTAGTTTGCCTTCAGCTACACAGGCCTGCTCTTCTTCCCAAGAGACACAGTGGGGAATTGAAGTCCCACCCTCTGGTTTTGTAGCCAAGTGCCCAACTTACTGAGTTCTCCAGCTAGCTATACTGTTTGTGGCCTGGGCTAAATTTGCAGCTGAGCTTGCCTGGGCTACACAGATAACAGAATGAGGTAGTAAATTTTTGAGACAGCAGAAAAAACTGCATGCTATCAGACTACAGAAAGGATATTATTTTAAATAAAGCATTAAAACTCTTCTGCAAGTAAAAACTGAACACATTAAGCAGAAAAAAAATCTAGTGCAGTTAGATTGATATTGTGCTGTACTTTACTGTTTGGAGGAAATTTCCTCATTAGCATGATTTTAATAACTCATAATAGCACAATACTCAAGAGACATGGGTTCAAATCCCTGCATGGTAATGAATCAGACTGGGAGACATGAAGCTGACAATACATTCCATAAAATATGTCACTTACCTTAAAAGCCCTATTAGGTTTGCTATAAGTGTTTTTGGATTGGATAGCACACCACACACAAAAAACATTAAGTAATCTGTCCATATGCCATTATTTCAGAACTCTCCCAGTCTCATTTCATTTGCTTCACTATTAAACCCCATCCTTTTCCCACAGAAAGGATTCCTTATTCACACTTTCTCCAATTTTATCACTTCATTGTTTTTCATGTTTTCCTTGCTCCCTTAGTAGCCATGTCCCACTTAGCAGGCCTTTCTGTTTTCTCACAGAAAGAGCCTTAATAAATTCCTGTCAGAAAGCGCATTCAATCCAGGTTCGATATTTGACAGTTATCAGGCATATCAGTTTCTTTGAATTGATTCTGCCTTCTCTTTATATCAAAAAAACAGCAAGTTCTGTTTTCCATCCTGTGGGAATTCTGTAAGTGATGTTTCAAATAGCAGAACTTGTTTGTTAAATCCCTCATGAAGCTGGGAGTCCTGTTGAATTTGTGGCTGTTGAATCCAAACATCTCTGGAGAATACTGTGAAGCACCTAGAATGTGTGTACTGTATGTAAAACCACAGGGAAGGGAGAGAAGAATACTGGCAGTGATTGAGAGGATTAACAGACATTGGTCAAACTAGATTTAAGGTGAATGCAATCCACTCTTTCTCCTCCTATAACAGGATTTCCTCAGGGATATGTGCCTCAACAGGTGAATGTGCACATTAAATGTGGGTGCAGACAGATGGGCATTAGTCTTGCTGTTTGGTTCACTGCAAAGACAGGCTATTTCACTCCTTTTCCCAACAAACACATCAAGTAATCACTGAAGTGAACCAGCCTGTTCCTGGAGCGTTCCTACCTACACACGTCAGGGGCGTCTATTTTTTGGCAGAGGTAGGATCGCTCTGTTTTTGTTTTTTTTTGGATCAAGTATAAGCTGGCAGTGAATTTGGCTGCAGGCAGGTTCTCGACCTGACCTTTAAGACTAGTAAAAGAAAAGGCGGCGGGGGGGGGGATCCCCCTTGCTGCCTCATCCTTTCACTTCCAGGAGGATATTTTCAATTTTTAGGTTTTTTAGATAAGTGACACAGCACATCAAGGCTGCCTTAATACAGTGTAATTTTTTAAAAAAATTCTTCTGTCCCTCCATGGAGAAGAGGAAGTGTTTAATTTACCAATATTGTGAAGTCACTGTCTTTTCTTTATATTACTGTGGGAAACTGATAGTAGAAGGAGCCAGATGAAGTAAGGTTGGTTGGGATGTGTATACCATTTGGATGCAAGGACTGCATTAAATGCCATAATAATAATAATAATTCCACCTCTAGTGATCCTGTTTAGCCTCCTCCAATCTGCTCTAATGAGTCTGTGTAGACAAGCTGTATGTGTTTTTCCAGTTACAAAAAAGTATGCTAAATGCATTTAAGGAAAAACACGTTTGGTAACAGATTTTTTTCACTTCTTGAGGGAGCACCCCTTCTAAATACATGTTTGCTGAAATCCAGTAGCATAAAGTTGCACCACAGATATTTTTTATGAGTTAAATGTTTATGAGACTTCTGACCACCACCTCCAAGGCTCCAGGACTCCTTTGGGATGTCTTTCATCCTGGAGAAGTCTTTTGGAGTTGGAGTCTTCAATTTCTTAAAATGCTTCCACTTGTAAAATACTCTTGCTGACAGAGCAGTTTTTGGAAATTAAAGACTCCCTGGATCCCTCAACCCCCAGGGTGAAAGGCATCCCAAGGGAACCTTGGAACCTGGGGTGGGGTGGGGGGACAATAGAATGGGAAACTTGTAATTCCTGAAAAACAGCCGTGACTGATGACAACATCAGCCTTAATCAACACAAATTTATACTTCTGGATTTTAGCTGCTGTGTATATCTGGTTTGAACCATGATGTCTTGTGTTAAATGTATTCTCTTTGAACCCCATTGCTTCAGGTATCTGGCTATTCGATATCCACTGAAATCACGGGATCTCCGTACCTCTCGGAATGCAGCTCTTGCCCTTTTCATGATTTGGACCTTGTCACTGCTGTTCGCAGGACCATATCTCAGCTACTATCAAATAGTGCACTACCAGGAAGAGCCCATTTGTGTCCCTATTTGGGAGGACCAACGGCGTAAGATCTTAGACATCCTCACCTTTGTATTTGGCTACATCCTCCCTGTCTTTGTGGTCAGCCTGGCTTATGCGAGGACTATTAAATTCCTCTGGACTGCTGTAGATCCCATTGAGAGGATCTCAGAGTCCCGTAAGGCCAAACGCAGGGTCACCAAGATGATTATTGCAGTGGCTGTCCTCTTCTGCCTCTGCTGGCTGCCCCATCACCTAGTGATCTTGTGCTTCTGGTTTGGCTATTTCCCCTTCAATCGGGCCACCTACGCCTGCCGCTTGGCTTCTCATTGCCTCTCATATGCCAATTCCTGCCTGAACCCAATTGTTTATGCTCTCATCTCCAAGCACTTCCGTAAGAGGTTCAAGCAAGTCTTCACCTGTGTCCTGGTCCAGGACAAGAATAGAAAGAAGCGAGGTGGCAACAAGGTGCACATAGCCAACATCACCAATGGTTTAGCCAACCACACAGCAGGTTTCTATGGAGGGAACACTGAGGTAACCCAGCTTCATGAAGAAAACATCCGATGCTACCAAGGCCTACTGCTGAGAGAAGCTGAAGGGGTCCTTCCTGAGGCCTGGCCTCATCAGTTAAAAGACACTGCCATCTCTGAACAGAAGGGGCTGATGGATGAAGAAGATTGTGGAACAACTGATAATAATGTGCTGGCTATGACACCACGCTGAGGGATCTAACCTTTTAAATAACCATAACAGGATATATAAACAAAGAGTCAGCATCTCTCAGCATGACAGTCACATTCACAGGGCCAGCCCTAACATTGGTGTGAAAGGATATCCACACTAGCATAAAGATTTGATATATAGATCTTTAGTGGCACAGTTTAGATTTGAAAAAGAGAGACCATGACAGCATATGTTTCTAGTTAGAACAAGCCATCCTTCCTCTTTAAGAGCTGCTACACTCCTTTCCTGCCCAGCGGCAGGGCATACATTCTTTTTGGCATACTTGCTGTTTAGCTGGGAGATAGCAGCCTTCAGCAGCTATAACTTCCAACTGCTATTGTGGCTGTAATGAGGTGAGAATGAGGGAAGGGAAGCAGGAAAGGGAGAGAAAAAAATGACACCAACAGGGAAAGAGAAATAATGTGTTTTTTTTAATCATTTCCCCTGACCCTCCTGATCATGGGAAATGCTTAATTGACAGCTGATTGGACTACAAGAGGACATGGGCAGTTTATTTATTTATTTATTTAGATTTATACCCCACCCATTCAGTAAGCATGCCACTACTCTGGTGTTCAACAGGGGTCAGACAGGAGGAGCCTGCTGAATGCCACATCGCCCCTTCCCCTAACCTCAGCACATGCTTTGTAGCCCGATCCACCCCATACTCAAAGCAGCCAGCCTGAACGGGCTGTGAGGCAAATGTCACAGGAGGTAGATGATAGAAGAAAACTGTAGTAGCCCCTGGAATCTACTTCATGAGCTTTCCATCTATCCCCCTCAGTTGGATAGCAGTAAAGCATAAGCCATGCCTGTCCTCTGCTATCTAAATTAGTTTATTGTCTGAGGTCTGGTGCAGGATTCCACCCTGTCAGCTGCTGCATGCACAATAGGGAAGGAGAGCCCCATGTCCTTTACACTAGGCAGCAAAATATTTTTGGCAGGCCCTGCTGACCTTAGGGGTCAGTTGGTGGGAAAAGGGTATTTCCTCAATACAGTATTCCCAAATGACTCAAAATTCATCAGTGAGAAAGTCAACCTTTGCCAGCAGAAGCTTCAGTGTAATTGTTCCAGTTATATCCTGTTCTTGCAGCAGTGAACCAATACATGAAATTTCCAAAAGGCTGTGGCATAGGACTAGTGCAGAAACAAAGCGTGTGTCCGGGTGTACATATCAACAGTTCTGAGGATTCCTGTCTCTATTCCATCCTCCGGCGTTCACTCTTGTAATGATACATGTACTGTCTCAAGCTTGCGTCCTTAGGTTAACCCTTCCATTTAACCCATACTTCAGTAAATTAGAGTGGGTGTTTGGATTGTTCCCCTCCCTCATTAAACTACATGTTTATTGTATCAAAGCATGAGCTGGAGTTTTTAAAAGGGCTTTTTATGCTATTTCAAACACTTTTAAATGTCTCAGAGAAGGGAGGACACTGCCATTTGGACCGACACAAGGGACGAGAGTGCTGTACATGTTTGATATCTGCTGAATACCAGAGTGGGCTGTTGAAGTATGACAATGTGTTGCTCTGTTTACATGGGGTTTACCCTATTACTCAGTGCTAGAGGGCTCAAGTTCACAACTGTCTGCCAGCAATGAACCTGAACATTTAATCACCATATGTGGGGCTGTAGGGGAGTGGTAGCATCCTGAGCTATGGGAAAGAAAATGCATCTTCCCACTTCAGTGTTGATGTGCTGTGTAGCAGGAGATCACAGTACCTCAGGCAATGCAGCTGTTTCTATTTTGATGATTTCCACATTGTTGCTGCCATATCATAGGGAGATTTTTGCCCCTCTGTTGTCCCAATCAGCTTAGCTATTTTTTAAAAATAAAATATATAGATTTCAGCAACATTGTCTGCACCGTCTCTTTCAACCATCCCAATGATGGAGAAAGCTAGAGCTTGGTCTCACCACAGGACTTCCACATTGCTAAATTGCTGCTGATCATTTGCAACTGCTATCTCAGGCAATTTGCAGCCATCTTAAGCCAGCTGGCTAGCTTGATGGGTTAGGTATGTGGCTGTGGAGCCAGAGACTGGCTGTGGAGGTTCAATTCCCCACGGTGCCTTCTGGGAGAAGAAGCAGCCTGTGTAGCCTTCGGCAAGCTGAACAGTTCCAGAGCACCCCCCAGAAGAAAAGAATGGTAAACCACTTTCAAGTACTTTCTACCTAGAAAACTCTGGAAACGGCAAGTCAGAATCAGCTTGATGCTAATTAGCTGGCAGACATTAACCAAAAGTAAATTATTTTTGAGTTGAGTGAACATTCTAATTCAAAGAAGGAACTCCATACATGCTTAATTTAGCATAAGAAAGAAGGGTAGGGGACCTGTGGCCCTCAAGATGCTGTTGCATTGAAGGTTCCCCATCAGCCCTGGCCAGCCTATCCAATGACAGAAGAGGATGTGATTTGCAGTCCTACAAAACCTAGAAGGCCACACATGTTTCTCAGTTCTAGCATGAAGCTCTACTGAGACTCACTGGAATTGATTTCTGAGTAGGCAGTTTGACTCCTGAATTTAATAAGCTGCAATATTAAGTGCATTTGTTGGGGAGTAAAATCTCATAGGACTCCACAGAGGATGCTTCTGAGTAAGCATGAGCCATTCTAAATGCCTCATTTAAATCTGTGGGACTGACTCCCAAGTAAGCTTGATTAAAAGTGGAATTCTGGAGTTTAAGCATTTCACACACATAAACATTGTTAATGCAGCTGTGATCATATGCAACATAATTGTGTTTCTGTTGCCCAGGTCCACCTTCTCTAAAAATTGCAGTATACTCAAAGCAGCTTTTCAAGCTAATCCTTCATTTCGCAATTTCCCTGCTTTGTGTCAGATAGAGCCTCATTTTCAGCGTGTTCCTAAGCCCCCGCTGGGAGGAACACTTGACGGTTCATATTCATATAAATAGCTTATTATCTCAATGTTATCCCAAGACTTATTGCTCAAAAGAATTACTGTAGAGGTGAGAAAATATATGGAGACCTTTATTTTGCTACATTTCATTATTTGCTGTTCCAGGCTTTTTGTTGTTGTTGTTGTTGTTGTTGTTGTTGTTGTTGTTTGAGTTGTAAGATCATAGAAATTACAGGCAAGAGTGCTGTAAAAAGAAAAATAGATTTAAATTTAAGGTTCTTGGCTGCTTTGGCAAGGACCTGGAAAAAACCAAAAACGGTTGGAGAGAACCCACACATGCAAGTAATTTGCAAATATAGGTCAGAGGTTTATTGGAAAGAAAGAACATAATGGAAAAGGAGAGCCTTTCAAGGCAGAGTGCTGTTGGTCTATGACCAATATAAGCAGCTCAAAGGTTACAGAAATTCATACATACTTTATAGAGGTCTCTATCAAAACCATGGAAAAAGTGATGTGGTCCCTCCCAGAACAACAAGTTCTGGGTCTTCTGTAAGCATCCTTACTTAAAGTTGCCTAAAATTATATATACCCTTTGAAATAGTCACTGTTGCCCTGAAAGGCGTCAGACGATGTCCTTGGCCCTCTCCCAATCATTTGGACAATTTTGAGAATACTGTATAAAGGCATACAGTCCTGTATCCTTTGCCTTCTAATGCTGACTTAGTTCTGACGGGCTTTCTTGATTCTGGTCCTTCAGCAAGTTTATTCATGTTTTTAGACCTTATATTGCTTTCTTTTTGGCTAGTCAGCAGAAAATCTTTCCAAAGCCTCGTTGTATTTCTAGAGGTGCTTTGTGGCTAAGCTAATTCTAAGCTTCTAAAGTTAGGCTGAATAGATATTTGCATTATGGGTAATAAAGGGTTGCTTGGAATAATTAAAATGGGAACGCTATATAATATGTTTAACAAGAGAACTTGAGGCCGTCCTGTCTGCTGATCACATCCTCGCGGAGTAGTTCTGACGGCCACGTGGAGCACTTAGCTCAGACTAGAGGCAAACCAGTTGCCTGGAAATGCTCTGAGAGAGACTTCACTTGCTTGCTTTTGTCTTTCTACTCCAATATGTTTTGCAGAGATGTGTGGTTTTTTTAAAAAATAATGCCAAAGTCTGCAAAATGTGTTGACCAGAGGCAAATAAAGGAGAATTACTCCATCTTCCATGTCACAATCAATTTCTTGAAAACACAATCTTTTGCCTTTAACTGCAATTGTACACTTTTTCCTTTACGTCCTAGGGTTGCAATTCATGTGTCACAGATTATTCTTTTAAAAATGGTTTTATTTCCTTTTCCATGGGTTCCCAAACGTATGTCCCTGGGTGTGTTAGATAAAAACTCCCAGAAACCTAATTATTGGGCCACCCTGAATTAGCCATTAAGCAAAATTAACACATGCTTAGGGCATCAACAAGGGAAGGGGGCACCACAGAGTTCTTTTCAGTACCAGATTTCCCATGGACTAGGGTGCACCCTTCTTAACAAAACACATCACTCTTTCCCTCACCCTTGGCTCCCTCCCTTCCTCAAGAGCCCCCCACACACATCTAAAGTAATTGAGCATGAGCCAATAAAAACTACACAATATGAAGACTCACCTAGCGAGAAAACTCATGTTTTGAATGAAATGATCAATCGTCACTTGGTGTGTGGGTTTTTTGTTGTTGTTTTTACTTCTGTATTTTGGGAGGTTGGGTGGCGATAAGGATAAAAACAGCTGCTAGTCTTTTAGACCCATGGCCTCTGCATTTTATGTACAAGCCAAAGAAATAACAGCCACTGTTCGAAATACCTCAAAAAGAGGCTTTAAGCTCTTGTTTGAGCTTTTCAGTTTATAGTTTCTGACAAAATCTGTCTACATTAACCTAAGCGTGAAAGCACAAGAATTGGCTGGAAGCCAGTAATTTGATTGTATGACTTTGCATACTATATCTGGTTCTTTTTTGCCATGTGCTATACAACTACATTATGGTATTTTCATACATATGATGTGTGTGTTACATTTTTGTTTTTTTCCTGATAAGGTGGGACCCACTTTATCAGGAGGAAGGCAGCCTATAAAACAAACAAACAAACAAACAAACAAATAGACAGACAGACAGACAAACAAACAAAAATATTTGTAGAGGGAACCACAATCTTCACAGTGCTTAGGGCCTCTAAAGGTCTTAACACAGCTCTGCTACTGGGCCTTGTAGTCTCACTAGAAGTCGTCATCCATTCTGGGAACCACTACATATAAGAATCCATATCAAAGCAACAGATCTTTTTTGCTCCTTATAGAAAAAGAGCTACATATGAAAAGTAATATAAAATCAGCATGAACTTAACAGATACTATTTGTGAGCATTACTCAAAATTTAGATCCTTATTCGTCCTGGGCAAGACCTTTCGGTGCCTATTGATCCAGTGCTATTTTGGGCAGAGGGAACATGTTGCTCTATTATTGATCCACATGCCACCTGGCTTCAGTGGAAATACTTTTTTTCCCCTCCCTCAGTATATATTCCTTCCCCAGAAGCTAAAGGCTTTTGTGCACAATAAGCTTAATAAATTGTGTTGTTATTGTTATATGCTGTCAAGTCAGCACTGACTTACAGAGACCTTAATAGGACTTTCAAAGTAAGATATTGAAGGAGTGGATTTACCGGTTCCATTCCCCTAGTCAGTTTCCATGGCCAAGCAGGGATTCGAACCCTGTTCTCCAAAGTTCTAATTTGTCTCTCTCCACTGTACCGCACTGGGAACACTAATGAATTTTACTGGCACTTTTTTTAAGGTTCTGTTGGAGTGCAAGTTTGGCTTACTGATGAGACTGTCTAAGTTTATTATGCCTCCAACATACTGTGAGGTGTTCCCTACCTGTGTCCTAATGGTTGAGATCCTGCTGCATAGTGTAGTAATTTGTAACTAGAGGAGGCCCATTAATTCAGTGGAAACTTGAGTGAGTCAACTCCTTTGCCAATTCCATTGATTCAGTGGGCCTACTCTTGCAACAGGATTTCAGCCAAAGGTACAAAGTGAGATTAGGGGAGATGCTCTTCAGACAACTGCTTCCATAGTCTAGAGACACCGCTCGTGTTGTTTATTGTCATTAATCCTTTCAATGGCAAGCCATTTGACAGCATGTTTGGGATATGGTTTGAGTCAGGATACACAATCTGTACACACACCCTCTGGTGCCCAGTTTGCAACCCACCAGAGGTACCCCACCTCTTCTGTTGCAATGGCCAAATTTCCTCACCAGTTGAATTTAGGGAATGTGTGTGGTATGGAATTGGAAAAAAAAATACTTTTTGGGATTACCGCTCACATAATCCTGAACCAGCCTGACTGCTGGCTGGGGTTGCTGGAGGATTTTGAGAGTTGTAGTCCAAAAAATATTTTTTTCCCAAACCTTCTCCTATGTATGTTTCTGCAGATACATGTGGCCCTCAACACCTCCCCACCAAGCCAGCATCATGTGGGCCCTTGGCCACCACCTGAGTTAGAATCAGAATAGAATTAGAGACATTCAGATTCAAGTCTGTGCTCAGCTGTGAAGCTAACTGGATGATCTGGGGCTAACTACTTTTTCTCAGTCTAATCTAATTTGCAAGATCATTGTATGGATACAAATGGGACAAAAGAACCATGCACACCCTTGAGCTCCCTGGAGCTAAGAGCAAAATATTAATGTGATAAATGCCAGTATTAGATTATCATTATGATAGTACTGTATCTAGTTTTAGTTTGTGGTGTACAACTTATTCAGAGGTCTATTTTCTGAGATGCTTAACAAACACAAATAAATCAATAAAATTGGACTTTCTGCCTACAGTGCCAAAATGATTTGGAATGGGCTGGTTTTTTTTCCTCCTTAGTCTACAAGACAAATTTAATAATCACTTTAATACTTAGCATCACAGGCTGTTTTATTTTCTCATTTTCTGCTTATTTACATGTACTTGTTCCAAACTTGTCTCCTCTGTTCAGTGGAGGGAAGAGAGCTGTGCGGTTGGATGAAGACATGTTTCTTCTTGCAAATGTGCCATTTTCCTGGGTGAACAAAACTGTGAAGTGCCACACCAAGTTCATTGTGTGGGACTTGCCAGTTTTAAAAAACAGGTTGGGAG